AAACACAAAGCGTCCTTGGCAGACTAACACACACATAATATGCGACAGATGGGATGATAACGATGAGATGACAGCAAGGAGATGCATGAGGATAGAGCGTTTGTGATGAGATGCATGATGTGGTGAGATCGAAAGCGGGCGGAGAAATGCATGCAGAAAGAACGTGTCGAAATGACCACGCGAGGCAACTCTGTTGCTCTTTTTAGTCGCAGGTCAGTTCCCCCCTCGGGAGATGGCTGTAACACACCGCAGCGGCTAGCTGAGGATCAAGTTCCTGCCCGCATTGCCTCAGATAATCCGTGACAAAGTTGAAAGCCAGATTGGCGTGGGCCTTCGAGGGGGGCTGCTCGTCGTCATTCGTGGTCTGCTGCATGGCCCATGGTGCATTTGCCGAGTGTTGGTTCGACGACAGCTGATCGGCTGCCATCTCACCGTTATGGTTGGGAGAAATCCATGCAGCTTCGTCGACAGAAGATTGTGCGCTCTCCGACTGCGTCAACCATCCCGAAAGGTTGCCCGGATCATCGTGCGACGGAGGCGGCGGTGCATTCGACATCATCCAGCTGGCTGCATCGACAACGGGCGCTATCTCATCCGGTGTATTGGGACTTTGAGAGACAGGCGCCGAAGAAGGATGTACACCAGGTGGAGGCTCGACCGGCGCCATCAGCCAGGATGGGCCAGTAGCTGGAATCTCCGTCGATGGATCCATTGGATCTGGAGAGTGCCGTGGACGAGAGACAGGTAGCGGACCTCCCAGCAGATGGGATCGAGCCCAGCTCCACGACTGGCAGCCGCGCGAACATTTCGCCCATGTCCGGACCAGATTCCACCCTTGATACCGTGCCGATGCTTGAAATTTTCCACCCATCCTGCACTGGCTTTGAAACGGTCTTCACCGATGCCTAACTTCAGGGCGACTTCGCGAGCCTTGATCCGGATGAAGGCATCAGTCAGGGGAGCGTTGTTGTCCCGAGCGGCAAGCAGCACATCCATCATATCCGTTTCGATTTCAGGAAACTTGGACGGCCTTCAATGGGGTCAGCATCGGCAATCGAAACACGATTGTCAAAGACTCACCTGTGCTTGGCAATCTTCAGTTCCTCATCGACAGGGACATTTACCATTTTGTCTTGTTCTTCAGGATCTTGCTAATGGTGCTGCGTTCAACACCATATTGACGAGCGATGTCCTCCTGCCGAGCGGTGGGATGGCGTACAGCGTATTCAAAATGGCTTTTCTATCCATGTTGAAGAGGCGCTGCTTTTTTTGTTTCTGGCGTAGCGGACCGAGTTGCGGACTGGCCGACGCGCTGGTGCTCGCGGATCCAGAGAGCGGAGAGCCAGAAGTGGAAGAGAGACCGAAGGAGGAGGAGGAGCTCGTGCTATTGGGCGCTCTGGTCGGAGCGATGCCGATGACACGACGTCAGCGCGGAGACAGTACTGAGCGCCGGAGATGCTGCGCGATTTGTCGCTGCGGAAAGGGAGTTGGCACGAGAATGTCCAAAGAAACTGTAGGTAGTGTAAGGTGAAGAAGTCGTAGAGGGCGTGAGTGGATTGTTGTAAGGCGATTGCATTCCCTGCGGCATGCTGAGAGGAGAAAGCCCAGAAGGGGTGAACTCGCGTCTTGTCGGGCTTGATTGAAGTCGTGATGAGCGATACTCGCCTCCATGCCCGAATTGGGCGGAGTCTGAGGGCGAGAGGCAGAATTTGGCATGTACATGGTCGCACGCTTGAAGTAAGATGAGTACAGCATAAGAGAGCAAGAAGGACTGAAGACGTGCCTGGATATCGTACGGACGATGCTCATGGGCCAACGCACGCTGACGTCGGGTGAGGACGCGACTCGGCCCTGCGCTCGAATCCACCGTCTGGAAGGTCCCATCCGTCGCATATGGTCCCTGACCATTGTACATGGTCTGCCAACTCTGCGCCGAGAAATCGCAGAACACTGCGGCGTTGGGCTGGGCTTGCATCTGGACAAGGTCAAAACAATGGCGGTGAGGGGAAAATGACACACTAGACCCACGTTGTGCGTCGTATAAAGCGTGCGGTGGATTGAAAGAAGTCAGAGAAGCGAGGTCTGAGCCAAGCAGCCCACGTAAAACCGAGGTATCGAGGTTACCTCAGGCTTGAGGCAGACCTGGCCTGCCTTCAAATCGGCATGCAACAACAAAAGCGATGATCAGATCCAAGACCAGATCCGGACAAAAACCCCTTGTGCCCTTGTTCTCTACTCTCATCTCTTGTTCCTCTTACGTCGTTTCCCTCCTCATCTCATCTCAGCCCTTATTATTTACGTCCGAGCTTTTTCCATACCAAAGGCCTGCGCAACTATCCGCAATCGCCGCTCATCAGCCAATTTCACCAATGACAGCCGAATACTGTACATGGTGGGACTGCTCATCCCATCTATCATTCTGGTACTCACTTGTCGTTGGTGAATGTCTCTGAAACAATTTGTCCTTTCCAGGATTATCATCCGGATTCTAAATGCGATCGCTACCTGGAGCAAACACGACCTGATATCCTCTGCCATGAGGCCACCTTCTTTGGTCTGTGATTGAATAATGACCTCTGTGTCGCAGCGGCTCCTTAGCATCATCTCCCGCAACTCCACCACGTTGGTGCCTATGCCATCTGTTCTCTTACTTCAGTGCCCCAATCTTTCTTTTCTGCTGCCTGCTTTTTTCGACGCACTCACTTACATTACCGTTCTCTTCTCCTCGTGTTTTGCACTCCGCCTAACTCAATTCTTATTTCAAGTCGGGAAGAACTGTGTATAAGCTAGGCCACGCGTTGCAGCTTGTTGCCGTCTTGTGCAATGTGGTGGGCTTCCGCGGCAATGAAGTACGAAACCGGCAACTACCTCAAAGTCTCCCGCGGGCAATTCTTGTTATTTGCTGTCGAGAATTCTTTGCGGCTTAGTTCGCGGGGTTACTGTGGACGTGCGGAAGGAGACTGATCGTGGTACTGAGCTCCCCGCGTCGGCAATGATCCTTTTCTTGTTCCACCCAGTTTTGGAACATTCTGGCTCTGGTGCACATGGGATCTCGCACATGGGTCAAGCTCAGTCTCTTTCCTTTCTCGTATTTTCTTGCCCGTCCTTGATTGGATCCAATACAAAGACTCTTGCGACACTCACATCTCAGTTAATGCCCGCCCTTCCTCCCTCGATGGATGCCTATAAATGTAAAGATAATGGCTTGTGTCCCGCATCACGTCGACCGCGGCGGGCCGTACAGGCTGTTGCTCATTCGGGGTATCGGGTTCGCTAAGCCATCCCGAAATCCAGCCGTACTCCCCCTGAATTGCTGTTTGAATTTCATAGGCCAAAGTTGGCTCCGGATCCAGCACGTTCACATCAATCCCGCAATTTCATGACTATGACGCGCTCTCATTCTGCCTGTTTGAGTTGATCTAAACGATAGGTATGTCTTCGTGGAACAATCAATTAGAACGCACGAAAGCAATGAGCAAGGGACGTGTTCGGGGGTATCACGTGACCGTGCTGGCCCATGAGAGACTTCTGGCAGCACTTGATGTGACCAGTGGGTCGTTGGCCTGAACGGGTCCGCACATAGCGTTATTCCGTTGCCTTACCATATCCGTTCTAACGACCACTTCGAAGAAGAAAATGCGCAGTCTTTGATCAGTCTCGTATGCGAGCGGTACATATGAGTGGCGTTAGATCTGAGAGTCTCAGCGGAATTCACGAGCTCAAGCAAGCTCTAATGCCTATCCGCCTGAAGTCTCGTAACAAGTGAATTCAGAAGATTGCGCGGGGCGGCCATCAAATCCAAGTTCCATCACCGATTGACGCGCATGACACGCGTGCCGCTCCCGCAATTGTTCGATGGATCATTCCAGCCATCCCTAGCGACAACGAAGGGATCCATGGAGCTTTCCACACCCAACTCTGTCCTGATAATACATGTAGTCGCCCTCGTCGCCAATTGCCGATACGGCGTAGCAGATCCGGTCTGGACTCTGACACCAACCGGTGGTCTAGAGGCACTCAGCAAGTGGAACGATACTCATCCGAACCAGGTGAGGATGGGAGCTTACCTTCACGCTCTTCCCGATGCGCCCCTGATCCGCCCTCCAAGGACAAAGCACAGCAACGACGTGAGAGATATGTATTGAAATCGACTGCAAGAGCATTGAGACTTAGCTATGAGGAGCACAGAAAGAAGTTTAGAACCACGCTCTAGTGAAAACCTTTCGGGGCGAGACATCCTGACACTTCAAGTCACATCTATGTCACGTGATCGCGTTAGATCATCCCATCAGGTGACAGCAAGTTCTCCGCTGTCAATTCCGAGTGTCAGAGTGAGCGAAGAGTGGTGACCGCCAGTGACACTAGCTCAAATAGAGGCAAATCCTTCGCCTTCATGCATCGAAGAAAGGGCATTAGCCCAACTCTGCCCTCTCGCCATTCGTCGTCGTCGTCCATGTCCTCCGAAAAGAGGTTTCGCGTTTAAATCAACGCAGTCTCGGTGTCACCAATCGTATCTGGCTCATACTGGCCCTCTTCGTATTCTTGCTCACTTTCACTCATTTCGTTCTCCCGACCACCCATACCCCGACTTACGCATTCTCGAGTCTTGGGCTCACGCCCAAAACTACCTCAATGCGTCCGAGGTTGGGCCAAACCCATTTGACTTTTGTCCGATCTACGGCCCAGGGGACGAAATAGGTTCCAAGCACGGTGCAACTCCTCTTGGGAAAACCCGGCTGCATTTGGGGAGTGGTGTCCGCATCCAGCATGTTTTGAACAGGGCGTTAGCTGGACAGCCTATAACCATTAGCATCATAGGGGGCTCTAGTGCGTCCAGTCTCTCCTTCACGTCTTCCTCGCTCATTTCTGGACAGTATCCTCTTGCCATGGTGCTGGTGATGATCCAATTTCCCCGAAGTGCTATCCCTCCCGGTTCTTCCAATGGTGGAACTCTGTCTTCCCCCATCCCGCCTCCGAACTCACTAACGGCGCTATGCGTCGGACGAGCTCGGAATATTTCGCATTCTGCAGCGCACACCATATTCCCGACCATACAGATCTCGTCATAATTGAGCTTGATTCTGATGACCGTGCAGACCAACAAGCACTTGAAGACTTCGAGGTTCTCGTGCGGTCTATCCTCATCCGTCCTGATCTTCCCGCCGTCCTTATCCTCGGTCATTTCAGCCCCCAAATCCACACCGCCTACGGATTTGCTGGGCCGGACCATTATCACAACATTGTCGCCCAATTTTACGACGTTCCCCATATCAGTGCCAAAGCTCTCGTGTACCCAGAGTACATGCAGGACCCTGACGCCGTTATCTCGAAGTATTACGTGGATCCTGTTCTTGCATCTCCCCGGGGACACGAACTCATCGCCGACGCCCTCATTTCGTATCTCCAGTCGCAGATTTGCACTGCGTGGGCTGTGGCATCTGGGGCAGCATATGACGTGGTTCCAGCTCGCACAACATTCGATCAGCCAGCGGGAGACACGCATGGACTCTTTGGTGGCGTTGGTCTGCGCAAGGGTGTTCCAGAAGATGAAGCTGGGTCGGACGATAGCGGCAAGTTAGCAGACCTACCTCCCACTTCTAACTTGTTCCATCCTTCACTCCGCATTCCTCGTGCTCGGATCGCTACGCGACCAAACGATGCTCGACCGTTCCAAGAACTGGCGCCTTTCTGCGTCTCGGCACACGATTTGATCAACCCGCTGCCTGTGTCTTTGTTCTATGGCTCAGGCTGGCATGCATTCCATCCTCCCGGTGGGACGGGCGCATTGCAAAGCAACAAGGCACACTACTGGTACTCGACGCTCCCGACGAGCAAAATGCGCGTTCCTGTCCAGGTCGGCGCTGGCGACATCGGCATATACTATATCAAAGAGCCGATTAACACTGTGGGAGAGGGAAGTGCCGTCGAATGCTGGGTCGACGACAACTACGCTGGAGCCAGGACCGTCGAAAACGCAGCGGACGTTCCCGAGGCAACCGCCGCGTAAGTCTCATGTTCTCTCTGCATTCGACCCTTGCTAACCGATAACAGACTGTTCTATATCGATCATTTCGTATCCCGAGGCTCCCATTTCGTTGAGTGCCAGCTGATGGGTGAAGAGGGTCAGAGTGTGCCTGCATTCAAGATTGTGGGCATCTTCTCTTCTTGATGTCTTCTGTTGCCATGAGGATGCTGCACCAATGGGGCCTTAGACTATTGTACGCTATTACTTATTCGAAATATGCATTTGGAACATTGTACCACTGGCCGCAAACCAAGACTCATTATAAATCACATACAATGATCCACATACACTCAGTGGCTGTGCGAAGTGATCGCAAACTTTCTTCATGCCTCGACGACCCAAGAAAACGATTGGCAAGCCTCGGCCTGTGAACCGGGACGAGAGCAAAATCAAAAGATGGGAGAAAGTCTCGGATATTCCTATGGACGAGGAGGATCAATGTATATATCCAGAGGCTTGTCTGTGCTCAGCCTAACATATGTGCAGTCCAGGCTTCTCGAGATAGAATTCTATTGGACGGAGACGAGGCGGTTGACGACAACGACGACGGCGACGATGACGAAGTATTTGCTTTAGACCTGGACGGCAGTGACGATGACGATGGCGAGGACATGGAAGATGAGCAGGACACAGTGGGCCAACACACCGCATCTGCGAAACCGTCTCGCAAGGCAAAGACAAAGAAGGCGAAAGCTGATACCGACTCAGAGGAAGAGGAGGAAGACGAGGAGGAGGAGACTTGGGGCCGAGGGCGTTCGGCGTACTACTCATCGAACGCAGCTCAGATAGACTCGGACGATGAAGAGGCCAATGAACTCGAGGAACAAGAGGCGAAACGGCTCCAAGATAAAGCTAGAGACGATATGGATGATGGGGACTTCGGTTTGGGCGATGTCTCCGAGCATTTCGATCTGTGAGCTTTGGGCTTCGATCGCGTGCACTGTTTCTCACATGTCCAAGGGATGAATCCTCCGCTATGGATATGGTCGCTGAAGCCGAGCCCTTACCTGAAGACCCTAAGGCTCTGCTTCGGCATTTGGAGAAAACTTGCCCAGAGACGCTTGCTATCGTGCGTGATTGGGAGGACACGGCCGAGAACCTAGTCAAAGCGCGTCGAAAGATCGCCGAGTACATCCCAAACCATCCTGTCGTGAAATTCATTTCTAACCAGTTCTAGGGCTGAGGCTGATGACCCAGATGCTCTTAGCTTGGGCATGATACACCTTCACTACCGTTGAGTCACTTCACGTATTCTCTCTCTGCGGAAGTTGACAGCATGTTACAGAAACTCTGTTGGCCTATGCAACTGCGCTGACTTTCTACATCCATATCCGATCCAGTCAGAAGTACCAACGCCGGCCTGAAGAGCTTCGAAAGCATCCCGTCATGGCACGGCTGCTCACACTCAAACAGTCATTGAGCACGCTAGAAGAGCTCGATTTCGCTGCCTCAGACTCTGAAATCGAGTCCCTCGAGGACTCAGATGAGGACACGTTCATGGACGCGGAGCAGCTCTGGGCTAATGACAAATTACTCGGTCTCGAACAAGACGAGCTGCGCGACCTGCTTGATGATGCTGGCGAGCAAGAATCAGAGTCCGAGCTGGAAGAACCAGTGAGACCCAAAAAGAAGAGGAAGACTGCTGCCAAGGGCCCGGCTGCTCCTGTATTCGATCTCGTTGAGCCTGAGTTCACGACATCCGTCGGAACCCAGCGTCGCTCGGACTCGTCCGCAGGCGATGCGTATGGAGAAGCAACTGCTCTCCAGCACGCTGATGCAGCTGACAAATCTGCGCGGAAGAAGACTCTGCGCTTCCACACCTCGAAGATTGAGAGCGCCAGTGCGAGACGGCAAGGCGCTCGAACCAATGCTTTGGGAGGTGACGACGACATACCCTACCGCGAGACAAGAAAGGCCAAGGCCGTGGTTCAGCGACCGCTCGGAGACGACCTGGACGATGCCGAACCTCAGCCGAGGGCAGAGGAAAGAGCCGAGGCCGAAGATGCGGACGGATACTACGATCTGGTCAAGCGGAAAGCGAAGCAGAAAAAGAGCGTAAGAAAGAGGAATATGAAGCCGCAGTCGAGGCCGCTAGGTGCGTGAACCAGCTCCGATCATATCCTGTCGAACTCAATTGCATGGATGGGCAGACCAGACTTCTCGGCCGATGCCGTCGAAGGCCCTCGTTCACTCACCCGGGCCATCCTCAAAAACAAGGGTCTCACCCCTCGACGAGCAAAGGCTTCCCGAAATCCGCGTGTCAAAAAGCGCGAGCAATACAGCAAGGCCAAAAGAAAGGTCGCATCTCAGAAGGCTGTGTTCAAAGGCGGGCTGGCAGACACGGGCCGGTACGACGGAGAGAGGTCGGGTATCTCCAAAGTGGTCAAGAGTGTGCGCTTGGGAGGCTGAGATACATGTATGCGTATATACAATCACCACTTTGGTCTCCGCGCCGCCTTTTTCGCGTTCAACGTGTTCCGACCTTTCGCGCCGCGGACGGTCTGCAGATCCTCAAACTTGCGCTTGGCGTATCGTTTCGCTTCGGCATCATCAACCAATTCGTCCACCAGGGTTCGCTTTCTCTCCGCGCGAGTGAGGTTGTCCGAAGATTGGGTCCCAAATGGCGTAGAAGTGGAAACAACGGTGCCGATCTGAGATTTTGGATGAGAAATTGCCGCAGGTGTCGAACGAACGCACCGCAAAGAACTCCGGAAGACCCTTGATTCCCTTGCTTTCTCCTTCCTCCTTTCTGTAGAATCGCTTTGGATCAAGCTGATTTCGCAGGCGCAGTGCCTCGACTTCGCGATAGAGTCGCGGGAGGTCTGCTTCCGCCGGGGCTGGCAGGTCGAACCAATCAGGTCCGGCTGTTTTATTGCGGAGCTAGACACAATCAAAAGAGAACCCAGTATATCGGATCGTTCGAGCGCACCTGCTTTCGCTCGCGTTTAGTGAGTGGTTTCCCAGATTTCGTCAACTCGGAAGGGGCAACGGGAGGCGCGGGCACCGAAAACGAAGATACGGCCCGCTCAGCAGCTTCAGCATCTGGATCTCGGAGCACGGCTACGTCGGTTTTCTTCTTCCCCAGTTGAAAATAGGGAGTCGGCAAGTCTTTCGGTCTCAGCGGAGTGCTAGAAATTGTCATATCTCCCGCACGCACTGGCGAATGATCATACCGACAGTTTGGAGACATCTCCCTCGGTCATCACTGAAATGACTTCTTCTTCAGGTAGCGCTTGTTTCTCAGCGCGGGCTTTCTCGCGAGCTTTGTTCAGCAACGAGAGCAAATATTCGTCGGAAACATCTTCAGTGTTGCTGGCAGCTGGATTCACCATTAGAGAAGGCAAATCTCTTGGTGGGAAAGAGGTACATGGAGCGCGTTCTTTCCCTTTGCCCTTGTCGTTTCCGTCAGACATCGAGTTTAGAATGATAACACGGTAGCAGATGTTAAGTCAATCTTTTTGAGTTCGACATTGATGAGATCAATCGAGACTGATGACACCATTTGACTCCTAACTGTCATGAACGACTGTAGTTGCTCATATCTCAGGACAGAGCAATGATGTCCTTCATTACACATCGAGGACAAACCGAAAAGTAGACAATGTATCTTGCCTACCGCCCCTGATGGCGAAAACAACCTCGTCGAATGAACCTGCGAACTCAGATGCCCTGCCCTCTCTTCCGAGCAGTGCCCTTCGAAAGAGCAGTGCCACCTCATTTGGTGGGTTCCCAAACGCCCCACAGCCGAACGCACCGAGAACGAGACGTCTGCATCCTTGAGAGGCAGCAGCTCGGAAAATGCACTTGACTTTCTCTCGCATGAGGTCGCGCTGCTGGTCCACTGCATAGGACAGGCCGTTGTCGTCCACATCCGGTCCGCGCACTGCAGCGCACGAGATGACATCGACAAACCACCACTGAGAGGGTGGGTTGACTTCCGCGCCTGGTGCCGTGGATTCGCCGCCGGGAGGGTATGTACCCCGGAACACGCAGATATCTTGCGTATAGATGCAACCAACATCTGGAAGGCGGTAGAAGTCGTCTCTCAGCGCCGGATACAGTGTGGTCCGCATGCAAAGGCTTTCTTCTTGGGAGTTCGCCCCGGACAGAAATCCACCGCCAGGTCGAAGCTCGGAAGCCATCGAGAGTATCGCGACCTTGCCGTTGCCATCTGTGGCTAGAGGGAAAGCTGCTTGTAGAGTATCCGCCTCGATCACAGAGATGAGGGGCAGAGCTGCGCCGGGTGAGTCGCTTGGTGAGGCTTTGAGGTCGCGAAGGAGCTTCGAAGAGCTGATGCCAGCTCTAGCGCGAGCCGATGCCTTCAGGACCACGGGTATGTGCTGGTTTTTTGTCTTGCGTGCAAGCGCGCCACGTTCGGACCGCGACAACACCATCAGTAGCGTTCCGAAGCTTGAGTTGGAATCTCTTGGAGTGGGCGCAAGGTGCTGGCGTGGGGCGATGTGTCAGCCTGACAATATCATAACGATAACAGTGTGAAGGAAACCATTCAGCGGCGCAAGTCAATAGACGCAAATAGATCTAGCAGTGATGCATTGAGGATGAGATAAATGTATGCTACATGGAGGATATTGCTACAATCGGATCAAGGGGTGCTTGAGTTGCTAGAAAGATGAGCTTCGGGTGGTATCCTGTACATCGACCGTTCTCGCGACGACCATTCGAATATGGGCAGCGGGTGAGCTTCGGTATTGAAGACCCATTGGCTCAGAGGCACGATGTCTTGACCAACAAACATGAGATATAAGTATTTGAGCGTTTCCGCAAGGAAGAAGCTAAGCTGGTCAGCGATAGGACAAGGAGAGCCAAAAAAGTCCCTCACCTGGGCATTTCATCCAAATGGCTGACTGGAATCTTATCAACATGCTGAACACTCGCATAACCTGTCTTGAGTCTCGCGTGTTTCTCGATGGCTTCGAAGATAGACCTGCCGAACATCAGTGTCGCATTGTTGGGGGGATCACTATATCGCATACCATCCACGATCTCTCCAAACCTCAGCGCCAGTGGTTCTCCAGAGAATGTAGAAGCTCTCCAGCGTTTCGGGCCGCAGCAAGTACGCTGACTTGTCAATAACATAATCCCTCGCCTTTCGTGCCGGGGCTTTGGGACCAAGACCAGGCGGCGATCCACCCGGCTTTCCTTCTGCCTTCCAGCTTGCCAGGCGCGTCGTCCACTTGAGCGACTGGTAGCCAGACTGCGGGTGATCCATAATCATCTCGTCAGGCCCAAGCCCACTGGCCTGGTCCGCGTACGACAGCCAGCACGTGGTGGCGATACCGTCAGCAGCCCATGAATGCAATTCCTTGGTTTCGTGCGGGAGATCGAGAGTGTGAACACCGAGGGCAAGCATTCCCGGGAGAAAACACGAAAGATGCTCGAACTTCCAGCTGGGGACGCCACCGTTGGTATCGGTCACATACAAGAGCTCTCGGTTCGGTGTCAGATAGAGCAAGTTGTCGATGATTGCCTGAACAGCATCTAGGTCTATTCTCCCCATGAGGGCGAGTAAAGAAACAAAACAAAACAGATGCTCACACATTGTCCTGGCCTTGGGCTCAGACTGACTCGTGAGAAGCCATTGCTTCAAAAGATATTCGTGGGCACTGTCAGCATATGCACCCACGGAGAATTGGTTGTTGGTGGGTTTGCCAGTGATAGAATCCCATTGCGTAGGAAACTGCCCTTTGTCTATCGTGCTCCGGTACATGAGATCCATGATTTTCTCAGTCTGATCTGATGAGCCCAGGCATGGAACCCGCCAACGCAAGACCAACCTTGTCGTAAAAGTCCGGGCGATTAGTGAGGTGTGCCAGATATTTGCTGTGAACGATCAGAGACAGCTCCGAGCAAACAATAGAGCCCGTACTATTCCATTTGATTGCTCAGAGCTTCTGCCCATAGCACAGATCCGGTCCAACCTTTGCGAACATCTCCGCTATCCCACGTTTAAAATCGCAAAGATGTTGTCCAGAACGTGCTTACGTCTGCGGGTTTACAGCATACATCGGTAGACCTGAAGGAGTGTTGAATGCAGGCATAAGCATCATTCCCAGCTCGCTGGCCTTGGTCAGCAGGATGGGTTCATCGGAAAGAGCGTGCGCGGAGAGCATTCCACCTGGTCGGCAGTTACGAGACACAATTAGGAGAGTATTGGGGATGCACACCGAGATAGCGGATGATGGTCTCGAAGAAAGGGACAAACTCTCCCGTCGGAATGTCAAATGTCAAGTCTTTGACCCAGGTGATACCCTCTTCAAAGAAGTCGTGGAGGCCCATGATCCACATCGTGTCCAATGAGTCGATGACAGAGACTCCCCACCCATTGAAACTGAAAGCATGTAAGTATTATCCAGAGAAGGAAGAACCGACACACTTGTTGACATGGGTTTCCGTGAGCGGCTTCAGCTCGTCGTATCCCCACGCGTCCCGTCGATAACCCGAGTACGCATGCACATACGCATCCTTGATCTTTTGTGCACGGGCCGCAAGCACTTGAGACGTCACGGAAGGCTCGTCGTATACCACACTATTGTTGGACACGGTCACTCGTTTCGGAGAGTACTCGATCAAACGCGGAGCGCGATCGAGGACATGGGTCGCGAATATGTACACCAATACGAGTGAGACGAAGATATAGGGAAGGCAGCGCAGCGCAGGTCGACGGTAGAGGACTTTGAGACTTTGCGAAGATAGAATGTGCTGTTTCCTAGGGCCTCCGGTGAGCTGTCGGGTATGTAGGGGAAGCATAGCTAAGTTGGGACGACTTTGCTGGGTCGGCGAGAGCGCTGGTCGAAATGAAACCCGGCTCTGGTCTCGTTAGTCCCTAGCAACTTGAACTGGACTGTCACGGAGAACACAGATGGCAAGTGACCTGGAAAGTGTCTTTACGCGAGAGAGCTCACGTGATCTCGTACTGAATATGCTCTCGCGACGATGTCTTGCAGTTTCGCGCTCTTTGGGCCTTCCCTTGCGCCATGCCGGCGTAAGCGCAAGGTCTATTGGGACGCACAATTCGCAGCCCACGCCAGACTCCCCTCCGCGAACAACTTCTTTCGGCTTCCAAACGGTGCTGGAGGATGAAAAAGAGTCTATGGTCAAGAACGTCTTCGACTCGGTGGCTTCTTCATACGACCTCATGAATGACGCCAGCTCTCTTGGTATTCATCGGCTCTGGAAGGACACATTCATCTCTGACCTGCGCCCTGGTCGACGCGGCCCTTTGCGGTGTATTGATGTCGCGGGTGGAACTGGAGACATTGCGCTCGGCATCTTAGACCATGCACGAGAGAAATACGCAGACCGGGAAACGACGGTCGAAGTTGTTGACATCAACGCGGAAATGCTCAAGGAAGGCTATCGCCGATTCAAAAAGACGATGTATCATAACAGTACGTGGTCTCCTGCGGGACGGAACGATTTAACTTTGCTCCAGCTCCCCAAATCTCGTTCCACGAAGCAAATGCGCAAGATCTTCCTGCCACACAATTTGCGGACAACAGCTATGATTTGTACACAATCGCTTTCGGGATCCGCAATTGTACCTCGATTCCCGCGGTTTTGAGAGAAGCTTACCGCGTTTTGAAGCCAGGAGGTACATTTGCGTGCCTTGAATTCAGCAAGGTGAACAACCCGCTTCTGAGCCTGTGAGTCGCGCATTCTGTTCATTGGCAGCGGCTCTTATGATGTCGGCAGGGCGTACGACCAGTATTCGTTCACAATGATCCCTCTCATGGGCACAATCCTTGCTGGAGATCGCGCATCTTATCAGTATCTCGTCGAGTCAATCCGAAAGTTCCCTCCGCAACCGGAATTTGCCAGCATGATCAGGGATGCAGGCTTCTCCACAGGCAAAGACGTTGATGGGGCAGCTTGGACCAATTTGTGGGGCGGGATTGCTTGCATTCACACTGGCGTCAAACTATAATCTACGTACTTATGTTCTCATATACACGGGCACTTGTTCCTACGTCCCAATGGTGCACATCGTAGCACCGCTTTGACTTCAGTGTGTAATCGTGTCACGTTTTGATCTAGAGGGCCGCAACGCGCTTGTCTTCCGACCACCACCATGGCTGCCTTGTCAATGCCTGCTACAACCGCCGATCTCAAGACAACTTGGGAGTTCCTCGAGGACGGCGTAGACCATATCATGAACAAGCTTCAAACCGGTGTTTCTTATTCCAAGGTCATTATATCGCGTCCCCAATACCGCACTCGACTGATCTTGTTATTCTATCTTACAGTATATGTCCTTATACACAGTGGCCTATAACTACTGTACTGTATCCAAGATGCCTAGCAATCCTGAAGCTGGCACCGGCATCACAAATCGAAGTGCTTTTCTCACTCGTGCTTCCCAGATCGCACTCTAAATAGTTTACAGCGGGTGCCAGTCTAATGGGAGCAGAGCTATACAACAACCTCATTCGATACTTTGTCAACCATCTCAAGAATCTGCGAACAGTGAGTGCGCGATCTGTATATATTGGCTGACTAGGTATTCACGGACTTAGGAAGCGGATACGATGCAGAACGAGGCCCTACTTCAGTACTACGCTGCCGAGTGGGAGAGATATACGACCGGCGCCAACTACATCAATCGCTTGTTCACGTACCTGAATAGGCATTGGGTGAAACGCGAGCGCGATGAGGGTAGGAAAGGCGTGTATCCTGTTTACACGGTGCGTGTGCATCGATCTTCTCTCATTCTCGAATAACCCATTGTTATTTCCTTAGCTTGCACTCGTCTCTTGGAAAGACAATCTCTTTGTGCAAATCCAGAAGAGACACAACAAACTCGTTTCCGCTGTCTTACGACTGATCGAGCTGCAACGCAACGGGGAAACGATCGACCAAGGGCTCGTGAAGAAAGTGGTGGACTCACTCGTGTCGCTTGGTCTGGATGAATCAGACACCAACAAGGCGTGTCTGGATGTCTACAAGGATCACTTCGAGACGCCATTCTTAGAGGCTACAGAAGCTTACTACAAGAACGAGTCCGAATCTTTTCTGGCGGAAAACAGCGTCTCTGATTATCTGAAGAAAGCAGAGGAACGTCTGCGCGAGGAGGAGGATCGGGTGGATCGATACTTGAACACGCAAACGCGGAAACCGCTCGTGCTGAAGTGTGAGCAGGTTCTCATCCGCGAGCATTCAAACCTGCTATGGGATACTTTCCAATCCCTCCTGGATTTTGACAAGGACGAAGATCTGCAGCGGATGTATGCCCTCCTTGCCCGCATTCCCGAGGGCCTTGAACCATTGCGCAAGAAGTTCGAGGAGCATGTCAAAAGGGCTGGTATGGCTGCAGTGGCCAAACTCGTCGGGACGAACGCGGATGGGACAGTCGAGGGAAATGCGGATGCAATCGACCCCAAAGCGTATGTTGACGCATTGCTGGATGTGCACAAGAAGAATTCAGAGACGGTCAATCGGAGCTTCAAAGGCGAAGCTGGCTTTGTCGCCAGCTTGGACAAGGCGTGCCGTGAATTCGTCAATCGGAATGCAGCCACTGGCGCTTCCAATTCCAAATCGCCCGAATTGATTGCCAAGCACGCCGATCTTCTTCTGCGAAAGAACAACAAGATGGCAGAGGAGGAAGATTTGGAAGCCGCCCTCAACCGAGTGGTAAGCGTGTTTGTTCGCTCTTCGATGTGTCATTTGATGTGCTTTGCTAGATGGTTCTATTCAAGTACATCGAAGACAAGGATGTTTTCCAGCAGTTCTACACAACGAAACTTTCGAAGCGTCTTATCCACGGTGTCTCTGCGTCGGACGAGAGCGAGGCGAGCATGATCTCCAAGCTGAAAGAGGCCTGCGGCTTCGAATATACGAACAAGCTGCAGCGAATGTTCACAGGTTCACTCGTCTGCCTTCATTCTGTCGAAAGTAAATCAATGCTGATCTCTTCCAGACATGAGTCTCAGCAAAGATCTTACCGATCAGTTCAAGGAACGGATGCAACAAACTCACGATGATAATGATATCAACTTTAGTATCATGGTCCTTGGCACCAACTTCTGGCCATTGAACCCTCCGGCACACGAGTTTGTGATTCCTGCCGAGATTCTCCCGACGTACGACCGTTTCTCGCGGTACTATCAGATGAAGCACTCGGGGCGAAAGCTGACCTGGCTGTGGAACTACTCGAAGAACGAGCTGCGAACCAACTACCTTAACCAGAAGTACATTCTCATGACAAGTTCGTTCCAAATGGCTATCTTGGTCCAGTATAACCGGAACGACACGCTTTCCTTGTCTGAGCTGGAGGCTGCCACCTCGATTCCGAAGGACTATCTGGCCCAAGTATTGGCCATTCTGGTCAAGGCGAAGATTCTCGTCAACGAGGAGTCGGAACAATACGATCTGAACCCCGGTCAGCCTCTTCTCCATGCTTTAACCCAGGCTATTTCTGAGACGCTTCCTTGCAGGATTCAAATCAAAGAAGATCCGAGTGAACCTCAACTTGCCCATCAAATCAGAGGTCAAGGCCGACACGAGTGAAGTCCTCAAGACAGTCGACGAGGACCGGAAGTATGTCATCCAGGCAACGATCGTCCGGTGCGTTCCTTTTCCTTGCCGGTGCACTAGCTCCCTGTTGACTGTGTGTCCAGAGTGATGAAGGCACGAAAGACGATGAAGAACCAGCCTCTCATTCAGGAGGTTATCTCTCAAATATCACAACGCTTTGCTCCCAAGATTCCCGACATCAAAAAGGTCACTTGCCTTCTAACCAGTTTTTGTATTTCTGATCGACTCTCTTTGCAGGCCATAGACACTTTGTTGGAGAAGGAATACATCGAACGTGTCGAGGGCACGCGAGACACCTTCGCGTACGTTGCATAATCACATTCCCGTTCATCTAGCTGTACTCGCCATACATTACCAATTGTATCAATACATTGCTTTGCATTTCCTCCATGACTGTACCCTACTTCAAGGAGACTATTTCTGGACATCGCACACTCCAGTCGGCCGCCTGTTTTTTTTTTTGGATGGAGAGACTATTTTCATTCTGAATAACCGCTCCTTCCTTTCGATTCTGTTGACACTTGTCGTTGCATCGGACGATCACGTGCTTCGATGGCCTCTTCGAGCCCAACCACGGCTCACTTGCGCGACCATCTCCTCCAGTCGCTCAGAGGATTACCTGGCAGCCGGGAGCTCCACATTCACGTTCTCGTAACCGCGCCCCGGAAATATCAGAACCTCTTTCCTTATGCCACGCCACGCCCCCGTTCTTACGCTCAAGATGTGCTCATCTTGGTATCCGAGGAAGTGAACGACGAAGCAGAACGCGTGAAAGACGAAGTGAAGGAGGACAGTAGCTCGACTTCAGAAGTGGAGCTTCCTAAGCCTCGCGTTTTCACTACTGCACTGGAGGCAGCTGTTTACACAATCCCGTCCACTTCCTCCGCGATTCTGTACATATCGAAGTTGGACTCGACTGGCCAAGGAATCAATCCGTCACCCACTCGAACCATCGCTTCATCATTCATCCAGTACTACTCGGATCCGAAAACGAGGCCGATCCCAGCAAGGCATCTATGGGTGCATTTGTTTGCACGCGCGCAGGGCCAATATCTGTTCCCCAACTCCTCCGAGTGCGAAGTCAAAAAGCCACTGTCGGATATACGACTGTGTGCCTGGTGGAGGTCGGTCGTGGGCAATGCCGTGGCAGAGGTGGCTGGAGGAGAGGCGGTGATTAAGAAGAGTTACTATCTGCTCCCGGGCATGAGCGAGTTTGAAGCGGATCAAGCGATGCGGCGCGTGTCTTCTTCTTCGACGGTCAAAGGAGAATGGATATACGGACATCCATACTCTCAAGGGAATATTCCGTTGCCCTGTCCACCACACGCCCAAGATGCACCCCTCGGGCACTTTATTCCTTGGTTCGACGACTGTCCTAAATCCCGTTTCATAGACGAGATGGCGTCCGACATTGAGGCAGGACACTCTCCCCCTCGCAAGAGAATCCGGACCACGACGGAAGGCGCGAGCAGGGATAAGAAAGACAAGGTTTCGCACATGGGTGGTGAGCTGGGGAAGGTGTCGATTGACGACTTCTGGGAGCGGATGTCGTTTCGACAAGAGTGTGTTGCCGGCGCAATCACGGGGTTCTTCGTGGGCATTGTGTCTTGCTTATTGTCGGATTTGCCGCAGGAAGTACAAAATATGTCTCCTCTGGCTCCACAACCCGGACAAGTCGCTGAAGCTGTCAACAAGCGAGTGTTGAACGGACTGATGACTGGTGTCGAGTTTTCCACTCGAGAGAGGGCTCTCAAGGGAACTGCAGCGGTGGAGGCAACCATCAAGAGTCTCTGCGATGGAATGGCTCGCGTCCCAGTGCCGATAGCCACCGGAAAACCGAAAAAAGTTGTGGGGACTGGCGGCAGAAAGACACCAGAACCTGGTGAGAAGCCGAGATTCCTCGTCCCCCCATCGACACCTCCACGAAAAGGATCAAGTCATGTGCCAGACGTCTCTCCCAATCCCTTCCCAGAGCCAATCGCCTCGTTGGAAACATACGACTGCCATATACACGGTCAGATTCGTGTCGAGAATGCGCCAATTACGCGCGAATCACGTTCAGAAACGCACGTGACGGTGTTGACTGTCCGAAAGAAGAGGAAACAAAACTGAAGGCTGTGACCTTGGTTCCTTGCCGCTCAATCTGTAACACGTAACTGTCTGTGATGCATGCATTGCATGGTGAAAGATGGTCATTTGGCGTCTGGCGGTTTCGTGTTGAGCTTTGAAGGAAGAATGGATTGTCCCGGATGCAGTAAACACTTCAGTTGTCATGGTTGCGAGGCACGTCGCTATGACAAATTCCACACTTCAGTCAATTTTGCGTGAGAAAATATGCAGATTTCCGAAGACATCCGGTGGAGACTCGTTGGAGACTGGCCTCAACTTGCACCCTCTTGCACATGGGAATCTGATGTTGGAAGCCAAGGGGTGTTCAAATGTTGGCGGATGGAATGTTTCAGTCGGTGGGACCTGCGTGCCAAGGGGGAAAGATGCTCTAATATTATGCATTGATCGAATCTCACTCTTTCTGTTGAGAATTCAGCGAACAGCAGGCTTGCTTCCTGCCATCACGTTTTCTGCCTCCCGTCGGTGGTTGGTCTACGACCTTGCTCGTGAACGTCCTGCCCGACGATGACCACCCACGCTCATTCTTTACCATCATTCGCTCAGGCGTTCAGCAACACAGAGCTCCCCCTGGGCGGTATCTTGTCCGGCAGTAACGCTCTTCCCCCAATTCACCCACGCTCGACACCACCACATCCTCGACGCCCCATTTCGCCCCCGATGTCCTCCTCATCCCGCCACTCTCATCACATGGATGAGGATAAGGTCAACGGACGAAAACGACCTCGAGACCACGGGTCACACACCAGGGACGAGTCTATCGAAGACGAGTGTGTCATATATGACTCTCTATCCGTATCTCAACTAACCTTTGGGCTGCTAGACGAGAGCCCCCGCGGCTGGTTAGAATCAAGCAGGAACACGACACCAACATGCCAGATGCCGACGCACGCCATCTCTGTCAGCCCGACCCCGCAGTCGGCTCACCCGCTCCCTCCGCTTCACGGGCACCCGTATCCAAAAAGCGGCGCATGACAGTTACGGGTGCACCGCAGTTGAACACGGATGTCCGTGCCTCCCCTCCTGAACCATCTGCCAGCACCCCTATTTCCCCTGTTGTCATGGGCTTTTCTCTCATGCGCGACAATCCAAACGCGATCGAGCAAGTACGGTCCATGATAACTGTCAAGCAGAAGCAGAAGGCCCTGATCGAGCAACGACGCGGCAGTCTGGTCGGTGCATCCACCTCGCCACCGACTCCTGTATTGACGGATGTCGCCAAATCTTCGGGCCCTCGTCAGCGGCGTAGTCCCGCCAATGGAAACACGTCGCGACGGGTGATGAATACAAACGCCACCCCTCCTATGGTCCGTGTCCCCTCTCCTCCAACACACTCGCCCTCCCTTGCGGCCCCGCCGGTTGCCACGCATTCTCTTCCACCGCCTCCAATAAGTTTTGCTCGTCGTCGTGCCGAGCAACTTGGAAATGTCAAGCGCAAACCTGCAGATATCATCATCAGCCCTCGTGAAGCGCATACCCCAGAGGAATTCCAGCCTGCGATTCAAAGTGCACCGCCTGTGCCGGGCCGATTCTCGATGGCGCTTCCGAGGTTGCCAAGTGTCATGGGACTTGGTGGAGATCAAGGCCCTGGGCGACGGATAGCTGGTTACGTGCCGCCGACCCCAACTCGCTTGTCAATGCAACGGCATAGCAGTGCGAATGCCGTTCCCTCCATTGCGCATATAGCCGCTACCCCAACCACCAATATGTCGAACACGCGGTCCCCTTCAATGGCAGCCAGTGTTCCGATTGCAACCAATGTGCCGATAGCAACGACGTTGGCTGTTCCTAGGACGCCTGCAACATTGTCTCAACGGCATCCAGCGGATAGGGACAAGGAAGCTTTCCTGGCACCGTTCGAGATGTTCTATGACGCGCTGAGCGACGCTCGAACCCTGAAAGGATGGCTCGGAGAGCAACTGGCTCGGGCAGGGACACTTACTCAGACCCTGACTAAGGAACGAGAGGCTTTCACTGTGGAACGGGAGGGAATGGAGAGTCGTTTGGCAGACATGGTGGAGGCTGCAGTCGACAAGAGAGTGCGGGTCGAAGTAGCGGGGCTGTACAGGCGGATCGATGAGCTCGAGAGTGCTCTGCGCTCTGCAGGCCTGGCTATCCCGTCGGGAAGCGGACGAAGAATGAGTACTGAGGGGGCCAAGAACAAATATGCCAATGGTCTGGTGCCCACAGAGTCGTATACGTTCCCTCCGCGACAGAATACGGACCGGCCTGTTCGCAGGAATGTTTCGCCCGGATGGCCTCAACCTGCGGAAGACGACGGGAGCACCAGTGGATCCCCTGCTCCGCCTTCTTTCGACAGTCGGCGCTTGTCTCTCTCTGCAAGTCGCCTGGATCCCTTGCCCGGAAAGGGCGTCAATTCACCGCCCCTTGGCAAGGAGACGAAAGACATGGACGCCGGGGCCTGTGCTGAGGCACCCGAAGACTGATGCGATATGAATGACTGACTGTTGATCTTGGATGGACACAAAAACTTTCGTTGCATTTCTACACTTTCGGGCACGGACAATACGGTGTCGCACCATCCACTCCTTCTTGATTTCTTCTCCCATGTCGTTTATTGGATTATTGTTTGTGTACTATAGTGCTCTGTGTATCAAGGAAATACGGAAGGAGGTTTGACCCAGGCTTCCACCTCAATCAGTGACTCGTGACACTCGTGACCACCGCGAAATTTCTCCCTCACCAACAATGTTGCGCGCATTGTCGTCCTGCGTTTCCGGGCAAGCATTCGTGCGTCATTCGTCGAAGCTCGCTTTCGGACGGTCCACGGCGTCCAAGTGGCCACGGCCCAAGCCTGGCACAGCTGAACGACCCCCCTACCGCGCCCCAGATCCTCTACTCAATAACCCGAAAGCGCGTGTAACAGAGCTTCCGGAGGATGGGATGACCTTCATTCACCGTCCACCTCCGAGCGCCCCGTCTCCGTTCTCACTGACTACGAATCCCGTTTCGCCTTTGCTGCGACCAAAGGCGCCGTCACCCTCCACACCCGCGGCCGAGGTCCGCTTGCCTCCGTTACTGAAAACGCACAAAGAGCTTCCCCGCGCCTCGGGACAGACTATGTCTGAAATAAAACGCCTGCGGAATCTAGACCCGAATCGTTATACCACTAGTGTCCTTGCACGCAAGTTTCAAGTGACGCGAGGATTTGTGCAGTCGATCGCAGCGCTGAAGAAGAGTACCCGGAAGGCAAAGCGGCGTGAACAGGAGGCTATTGCGGCCAAGTCGAGAGAGAAGTGGAGCGAACGCAGGACGTTAACCAACATGATCAGGACCAAGCGGAGAGAACTATGGTGGTAAGTGATTTATATACTCCAGGCTCGTCGACTTGGAAGCTAAATTACTATGCAGATACAGATTATATATCTCGGAGAGGTGTACTTCTCTTTATGAAGTATAAACTAAACTGCCCTCAAGCGTCGACGTTGTCGTCTAATTTGATCCCCTTCACTTGCTCTGCATCTCTCTTCCAATGCGCCACCCAAAACCTGTGGTTGATCCCGGGTAGGAGCGGGACACACACTGAGCCTCCGCATCCGCCTGTTCTTGTCATTGGGACCAGGTAGATCACTTCCTTGACGCGAGAATGGGTCAGCGCCATAGTGCACATAACACATGGCTCATGCGTGGTGAACAAAGTAAGGTTGCTCAGAAGATAGCCACTGCGTGCGCTGGCGTCTTTATGCTGCCCAGAGGCGTGATATTCACCGATCGCGCGAATAACGTTCATTACTGCGTGACGCAGTGGATGGTTTGTCGAATGTCGCCTGTCGTGGGCAAGAAAGCCGGCCGTGGGGAAAGGGCCAATGTCGTCGCTCTCTGTCTCGTAGGGCACCGGGACGTGAGCTGTGATGGGAAGCTGGAGGGAATGGCTAAGCAGAAGCACAGCCGATTGTCGAGACGCACCTCGTCGCTCTGGTTCTTGGCCTCAGCGATCGCTTTCCGCATGGCAGTCCACGCCCAACGAGCTTTTCCTCGTGTCCAGTCCTCTTCTTGATTTTTGCGCACGGGTGAAAAGACGGTGGGCCATAACTGCATTTTGAGTGCGAGAGATGTTGTTGTCAGGGCAGCTGACGCAGGCACAGTGACATGATATGGTACGGGGAGAACGATATCCTTTGGTAGACTGGGATAGGGAAGACCCGCTTCGACGATGCTGAGCAGAAAGGTGCACGTGTTATCTTGCTTGCGAATGCGCCTCAGATGTGACAGAGCTTCGAGGTCGAGTTGCGACTGCTTAAGCCATCTGGGGGACAAATAAGAAGATGAAGAGCGGATGCCTGTCGCCCTACTTGAGGAGAGGACCGAGGTTGCGTTCTTCGGGGACGTCTACAGCCCATGCTTCAACTGCGGATCTGGATTTGAACATGTGCAAATGGGCGGGGAATCGAGATCATTCACTCGTCCGTACAGTATCCGCCGTTTCTCCTTCCGGCAGAGGTTTGATGCGTTGGAAGGGCAGCATCTCTTCTGGAAGCACCTCGCTCTCGTCTCCGTCGGGAACATGCCACTCTAATTCATCTGCATCCTCTGCCGCGCTAAGATCGAGCTTCAGGAGACCTCCCCAGCCGTCTTCTGGTTCCGGACTCTGGTGATGTGATTGATCAGAGCCAGTAGCGTCAAACCAGAGATTCGATCCGTAGTAGATACATAGTTCGTCGCCTTCAGAGATATTGCGCGTGGACGTGTAGTGTATCGATTCTGTCGCAGGATCGAGAGTGTACGACACGTTGGGGGATTCAGAATGGTTGAACAGAGAGCCTTGAGGAACAGAGTTTCATCCAGTGGCAAAAGAAGACGCCAACATTGGGACAGCATACCGAGACCGAGGGCGAGTGCCATGGAACCGTTTCTCCATTTGAAAGTGTAGTGGTCCAAGAGGGTGTGTCTTGGGTTTTATATGAGGATCGAGACTTTTTGAACTTAGAAACACCCCACTTTCCGTGATTTTCGTATTCTTCTTTGCCAAACAGAAGGACGGGACTACTCTCCAGCAGTGTTCGAGGCGGGATAGATCTTGCGGCTGAGGAGAGTCGATACGCGTATCTCGAGATCGCATCAGGAAATACCACGTACCAAAGAGTCCGCGTCCCTTTCCAGGAGAATCTTTTACAACACATAACGGATGATAGGCAATCGGATGCACCGAGGCGTTAGCAGCGTGGAAAGAGGCAGCCATCACATGTAATTAGCTGCACGTGCGCGACACGTCCCAACTCGACACGCGAACGTCGCTGCCTCCGACCTCTATGTCCTGGCTCTGAACCAACGCAACACTACAGTCCTCGTCGATGCCTCCTCCTCGGCCCCTCCCGAATATTCTCCTCTTTGGCCTAGTGCCTATCGCGACATGGTTCGTCATACGACCGTTCATAGACCCGACGCCACCACTGCCCACCCTCTACGCGTCGATAGGATTCTCTTTCTTTGCGCTTGTTTCCACGCTATACATAATCCCCGCCGTCGGACCCGCGTTCATCAAAGCGAATCTAAAGGGCGTAGACCTTCTGAAGACCGACAAAACTCCTATGTAATTACGCTCTTATTGCCGACCGAAGAATGTCTGTGTTCTAATCCAGACGTTGTGCCGCATCATGCAGTCCGGAAAGCCAAGGCCTTGTCTGCGCTTCCGTATACATTCTGCTCTTGATCCTATTCATCCCGTTCGCGTTCTCGGATTCGATCTCCGGTCTTGCCAATGCATCGAAGGTCCGAGAGGGTCTTTCGGTCATTGAATTTCCGCATCATCAGGTTGGTTCGAGTCCGACTATCTCGTCGTACTTCGGCCTGACTGCCAGCAGCTTGCGGTCTATCTCTCGTCGCTGTTGTCCTTGATGATCGCCACAGTACTTGGCTTTCTAGACGACGTGTTCGACATTCGCTGGAGACACAAAATTCCGATTCCGATCATAGCTTCTATTCCGTTGCTGATGGTTTACTACGCTGAGCGGGGTAACACTCATGTCGTGGTTCCGCTGCCACTCCGGTCCATATTCGGCAATTTGGTCAACCTCGGTACACTCAATGTCTCAAAGGGGTCAAGATCTACTGATGATATGTTCAAAAGGGCCACTTTACTATCTGTATATGTCACTTTTGAGCACGTTTTCGACGAACAGCTTCAATATTTTGGCTGGAATCAATGGCGCGGAAGTCAGCCAAGCGTTGATCATCGCCGTCTCTGTCATCCTGAACGATCTCCTGTTTCTTCCCTGGCCGCTGGACTTCAGAATACCTCTGCATTTGCTTGGCGGCCGTGCTGAGGTTGAGATAGGCGGTGTTTGGAGTGCTGGAATGGCTTATGGAAGCCGTGAATTGGTCGAGCGCCATCTGTTCAGTCTATACTTCATGCTGCCACTGGTAGCGGTCTGTGCCGGCTTCTTGTACCACAATTGGTACCCTGCGCGTGCCTTTCCTGGCGACACGCTGTGTTATGTCACCGGAATGGCATTTGCAGTGGTTGGGATCCAAGCCCACTTTTCGAAGACACTGCTGCTGTTTTTCATTCCCCAGATCTTCAACTTCTTGCTCTCTTGCCCGCAGCTCTTTGGACTTGTCCCCTGTCCGCGACACCGGGTTCCAAGGTAGGCCCTGGTCGGTTTTTGCCGCCGAGGCTAATATCTTGGCGCAGGGTTGATCATGCGACGAACCTGCTGCACCCCTCGAAAGCCATGTTCCTGCAGCCGCCAAGCGCATTGTCAACTGCAGTGCTCAAGATCCTTGCTGCAGTCGGCCTGACCGAATTGACGGTGCATCCTGGGAGTGGCAACATTCTCGAAGCCAACAACTTGACCATTCTCAATTGGTTTTTATTACGGCTCGGGCCGATGTCCGAGAAAAGTCTCGTCAAAGTCTTGATGTACTCTCAGGTGCGGACTCTCAAGCTGGGTGAACCTTGATCCAAACGTTCGTAAGGTCTGCGGGAGCGTGATTGCCTTTGCCGTACGGTACGGCCTGGCGGGGCTTGTGTTTGACGGCAATCGACGGTAAAGACCCGGCTAATGAGATGGCCCGAGGTGGATGCCATCCGTAAACAGACGGAACGGAGCGAGACCTTCTTTTTATCTCCGCTCCCGAATGCGGGGGTAGACGGGGCTCCGGGTAGGTAATTCGTAGAGCACAGGTGATCGGCAGATAAAAATCACATGTCGCGACTATTAAACAGGGGGTGAATTCCAGGGTCTTGAACTCTCCACCACACAACTATCATGTCCAGAGAACGCATCGCATTTGCTGAGGAAGTTGCCCGGGTCGAACAGTGGTGGAAGGCAAGTCGTAGCAAAAGAATTGCGCTCACATCAGCCTCATCCTCCATCGACAGAACCCCCGCTTCGCTCGAGTGAAGCGCCCGTACTCAGCTGCCGACGTCGTTGCTAAGCGGGGGACTCTCCCAATCGAGTACCCATCCAACGTTCAAGCGAAGAAACTGTGGTCTCTCTTGAGCGAGCATGCTAAACAGGGCACGCCCTCACATACCTATGGCGCGTCAGTCTTCGAGCTCGTGGTCCACAACATCACACTCACCGCTTGCAGATTGGACCCTGTCCAGGTGACCCAGATGGCCAAATACCTCGAGACGGTCTATGTCTCTGGGTGGCAGTCATCCAGCACGGCATCCAGCACCAACGAACCCGGCCCCGATCTCGCTGGTACGTCCATCATCCCCTACCCATGCATCTGTTCGGCGCTCACGTCCTCCAGATTACCCATCTAACACGGTCCCCAACAAGGTCGAGCACCTCTTCATGGCCCAGCTGTTCCACGACCGGAAGCAACGCGAGGCGAGGGCCAACATGTCCGATGCCGAACTCGCCAGTGCTCCTGCTCCCGTCGACTATCTCCGACCGCTGGTCGCTGATGCAGACACTGGCCACGGTGGACTGACAGCAGTCATGAAGCTCGCTAAGATGTTCGTGGAGAAGGGCGCTGCCGGAATTCACGTGGAAGATCAAGCCCCGGGAACCAAGAAATGCGGCCACATGGCCGGAAAGGTTCTGGTCCCCATTCAGGAGCACATCAACCGTCTCGTTGCGATCCGGTTGCAGTTCGACATCATGGGCGTGGACAACCTGGCCATCGCCCGGACAGATTCCGAGGCCGCTACGCTCATCACTTCCAACATCGACGATCGCGACCATGCATACATTCTCGGTGCAACCAAGCAGGGCCAGGAGCCTCTGCAGAAAGTGATGACCGATGCGGAGAGAGCTGGAAAGGTCGGCGACGAGCTCCAGCGTATCGAAGACGAATGGGTAGCCGCGGCCGGTCTCCAACTGTTCTCGACGGCCCTTGCCGTCGCGCTCTCCCAACAAGGCGTGTCGGCGGGAACGGTTGACCGCTTTGTGGCGCGCGTCGCACGATCGTCGTACCCAGAGGCGGTGGCAATCGCTCAACGGGAGTATGGTCTTCGCAGCGTGCCGTACTGGAACTGGGACAGCCCTCGGACCCGAGAGGGATACTACCGGTACCAAGGCGGGACGGAGTGTGCGATCATGCGTTCGATCGAGTACGCGCCGTACGCGGATTTGTTGTGGATGGAGACGAAAAAGCCTATCTTGGAACAGGCGCGACAGTTCGCGACTGGCGTGCACGCAGCACATCCGGGCCACTGGCTTGCATACAACTTGAGTCCGTCGTTCAACTGGGATGCGGCTGGACTGGGAGACAAGGACATGGAGTCGTACGTCTGGCAATTGGGAGCACTCGGCTTCGTGTGGCAGTTCATCACGGTGCGTGTATGCCGTGGAACGTGGAAGATTGAAACTGATCTGCGGTATGACACAGCTCGGAGGCCTGCACTCGAACGCGTACATCTCGGATCTGTTTGCGAAGAACTACGCAAAGACCGGCATGAAGGCGTACGTGGAGCTTGTGCAGCGGAAGGAGCGCGATCTGGGCACAGACGTGCTCACACACCAGAAGGTCAGTCGTATTCTTGCGCCGCCACGTTGCGTTTCTGATGGACCGTAGTGGAGCGGTGCGGACTATGCGGACAACTTGATCAAAACGGTGACAGGAGGTGTTTCATCGACGTCGGCCATGGGAAAGGGTGTCACGGAGGCTCAGTTCACGGCCAAGTTGTAGTACTTAGACGAGTAGAGGAAAGATTGTTCAATGTATGCATCACATCACTAGCAATTTCATGTCACATGGCTCCTTCACGTGCTCACGCACGGACCACCACTGCAATCGTATAAAACCGAGTGCTGAACGCAATGAATCTTTACCACTCTGGCCTTTTGGCTTAGATCAAGTGTAGTATCTGTTCTTAATAGTTTAACCACTATTAGAGGGACACAGTCCCTTCTATTTGGTTATCTAATTTTTGCCGCCCTTGTTTTTCTGCTCTGCTTGCAACAGTAGGACGCGATGACCTTGCCGCTGCACTACTGGCTTGTGTCGTCGGGGGTCCACTTTTTTTTTTTGCATCCTCCGGTGGGTTAACCCTAACCCTAGTCGATGGGTTACACAGCTTTTAGGCAGATTAAGGTATGCGGCATTTGATTCCAGCACGGGTGACTAAGCAGTGACTGTCACGGTCACAGGGTCAAATCTCGGAGGTCGCAGAAACCAACTTCACTTTTTGGACCTTATGAGCTTCTGGATGGGTGTCTAGTGGTACATATGTGCTCTAAAACACCATATGCAACAGTCAAAAGCCATGCCCAGCCCACAGTAGGTAGTTGTAGCCTGAAGCACTGCCACTTCCTTATTGGGATGTCACGTGATGGGGTCAAATTTTGGACCCGAAAAATGGAAAATGCTGCATTCGGTGCGAAAACACGTTATACAACAAGAGGAACTTTTTGATGGGAAATATGCCAGCCCAAGATCATGCTGCCTGCAGGATAGATATTGAAATTCTGCTTGCAGAGAAATTATCCTAAGGCTCTCCTAGAACACTCTATGTGAGCAGATTCCTTATTTTTTTCTTGTGGCCATTGTGATTCTCCGTCGCCGTTTGGTCACACGTTGTGATTGTGTGATGCTTAGTCACCCGTGCTGGAATCAAATGCCGCATACCTTAGATACTGCACAGCTTTGCTACATACATCAATTACATCGTCCATCTCCACTGTCCAGTTCATTGTCGCGATCCTCGCACAGCTATGCCTGGTCCGACGATCACAGTCATGACAACGGTTGCTCTTGAAACTCGTTCTGGAACTCGCGGGACCATCGAGTCAAGCATCACTCCATGTTCTGCAAACAGCTTTGAGCGCTGTTGACGGGGCTGTGTTGAGCTGACTCGCTTCTTCGCGTGTTCTTGCGACCTCAATCGCACTGTGATAGACGCGCCGATACAGCGACGGACCGTACGACCTTTGTTGACCATGTTGGCTCGTACGGGGACGCGGTAAATTCTTGTCGCCGGGATCGCAACCCGCGAGTGCGATCCCGCTATCAGCCCCGAGTCAACTCATTCGACTTGACTCGCCAGCACTCCGGCACATGCGTCCCCAGTGGACAGCGGGCCGGATCTGCACACGCGCGCGCACAGGATGAAGCAAAATAGACTGCCGTCGCTGACGTCCATGACACGGAATAACGTCCGCATCCCGAAACGGGACGATCTTGTCAACTGCGACATGTATCAGTATCAGACAAAGATGGCTCAGGAACTTGGATGAAAATCCGACACTGCCTGCATCGTCCATTCTCATCAGCCTGCTGTGGCGGATCAGCCATCCATGCAGTGTCTTTTTTCTGACGGAACCGGACCGACAAGGGCGCCCAACTGGAATATAAAACGAGTCACCATTTTGCACTTCCAGTCATCCCAACTCATCTCCCATGGACTCCCAGACCGCCCTCAAAGCCAAACAGTTCTACGCCTCTGCGCACTTTGCCGTGGTCGGCGCCTCAGCCGACAGCTCAAAGTACGGATCGAAGGTCAGAGCTGCTGACTCGAGCCCGCTCGTCCAGGTCCTAATCCTCGCGTAGATTGTCGCGTTTCTTGCCGACCGCCAGAAAGATGTGGTGCCCATCAACCCTAACAGAGCAGACGTCCGTGGCCTGAAGTGCCTCAAGAGTCTGTCTGAGCTGCCTGATCCAACCCACACCTCTGTCTGCATCGTCGTCCCCCCTGCAGTAAGCCCAATCCCCAATCACCGGCTTTTCCGCGTCTGATAGCCGGCAGGTCACGCTGCAAGTCCTCCAGCAGGCCAAAGCCTTGAGCATTCCTTCGGTGTGGCTGCAGCCCGGCGCAGAAGACGATGCGGTCCTCAAATTCATCGAAGCAGACGCTGGCTTCGAGTCGCACTGTCTGTACAACACGACAGCTTTGCATCAGCATTCCTTGTCGACAAGCCATACGTCGGTGTCCTTCGAGACTAAGAAGAACCGGTTTTTTGCCGCAAAGAAATTTGCAGTCGTCGGTGCTTCAGCAGACGAGAAAAAATTCGGGACCAAGGTGTGCTGCGGCTTGCAAGTATGGGGTTGACCGACAGCTGACTCGACTCATCTGCAGGCTCTCCAATATCTTATCAAAGTGCACCGAGACGTTGTGCCGATCAACATCACGGATTCTCACAGCCAGGGTATCCCTTGTCTCAAGTCCCTGGCAGACCTGCCGGATCCGACCAACACCAGCATCTGCATTGTGATCCCACCCAAGGTCGGTCCCAATCACCGCACGATCTTACATCCCAAACTGATTGATGATGATAATCAGGCCACTCTCCAAGTCGTGCAGCAGGCAAAGCAATTGGGGATCTACGCCCTCTGGATCCAGCCTGGGGCAGAGGACGCCGACGTCGTCCGCTTCATCGAGGCGGATCCCGAATTGGAAGCGCGCTCCCTCTTCCGGGAGCACCCACTCCCCACAGTCGAGCCCAACCCGGCTACTGGCATCCATGTCCTGATTGCAGCACCCGCAGCTCAACCACCCGTGTGTCTGATCGCCATCCCACCAGAGAGCGTCAACACTGTCGTGCCCAAACCGATGGTCAATCTTGTGGCGGCCCCCTTCGATCAGTCGCCGCCCCTCGACGATCAGACGCCGCCCCCGACCGATCAGCCGTCGCCGTGCTTGATCGCCATTCCTTCCGCATCCGTCGATATCCTGGCCCTGCCCAAAACGATGCCCATCGCGGTCTGATTCCTTCGTCCTATCTATACCTAACTGCTATCTTTTTATACCGCATCAGCGAGCTAGTTGAGATATTATATTCTTATTCTGTGCTTATTTACAATAGAATGTCCTCTTCATCGTCTCATGCCCCTTTGGGCAACTTCACCTGGAAAGTACCTGCAGGCTGGTCAGATCACGTCTGCGGCTCTGTGAACTGTGCACCACATTGAGGTAGTGAAGTGATCTCGGGAGACACAGTCGTCTGGTAACCCAGTCTTGACAGTGCACCGCGTATTATCCCGGCAGGTAGTGTCACATACTTCGACTTGGCGGGCTGGAGGGTCAGCGAGCGCGAGCAGATTCTGGGGGACGAGACCGTTAGCTGACACTGATGGCGTTATTTGAGTAGAACTGCGTGAAGCCAGATTAGATTGCCCAACATTATTCGTCTTTTTATTCTTTATTGATTATTCAAGTATTGAATTATCCATTAGTGTTAAATTACAAGGATGAAGTACACTGGTTCCTGTTGCAACTCAATGACTTCGGGCAGCCAACCATTGCAAGACAATGTCAAGATTATGTTGGCTCTTCATTGAACACTGAATATCCTTGTCAGCAACAATATGTGGTCCTCTTTGTAACATTACTGAATAGCACTGAAGTGGAATGTTAACTGAGCCGAGGTTTGTTGCAGCCCCGAAACACTCACTGATACAGGTCTGTCGGTGATCTTGTCGAGTTGCCTGACGCAGGGAATCAGGACAAGCACCTATGCCCAAAGAAACCACACACAGATCCTTGATGAGATCTTTGACGGGAACGTGGTTGCCCAAGTCGTTTTTGTTGCCGAGCTAATATCCGATTTAAACACGGCCACGTGTCGAGCGGAATGGAGCAGACCACGAGGAGAGGGACAGCATTCAGCGTCGGTTGACCAAGGAGTTGATGGAGTTCGAAACGAGCGGTGTTAAATTTTTCGGGCTAGTACGTATCTCGTGCGTGAGAAAAGCGTCATGGAGGCACAGGCGCAGCACTTGCATCGGCGGAGTCAACGACGAATCTGGTAGCAATACGTCAGCATCCGCCGTGTCTATGAGCGCACGCCCGTGATACACTCACACTATTGCGTCAACGCCGTGGCAGTAGCGCTCCCACATCGAACGGAATTTGGGTTGCCCAGCACAGCACATGAGTGGATCTGTCGTCGGAGGGGAATGGCAACGTACCAGCGACGTCCCAGATCTTGAATGTAACGTTCCCTTTGCGTATCTGCCCGGCGAGCGTCGTGTTATAACGCAAACAGATCGTGGGCGTGCACGAACCTTGCGGAAGATGAATCCCACCGTGGGCACCACATCCTCGCATTGACCCGAGCTGATGACATTCACGAAGGAGGTCTTCCCAGACGCCTCAAATGAACACTCCTTAGTGACAGACCAAGCTAGAGACGCAAGGCCATACTTGGAGACCGACAATTGCTAGGGATCTATATCAGCTTGGTGGATGCAAGTATGGGGGAGTTATGTCTGCACCAATTTCCGCGCTTTTGGAGAAGAACAGGCTATTTGGAATTGGGAATCAGTCTCGTTACACCGCGAACACACAAGACTTGCCTACTGAGCCACTGAAAGAACGTAGTAAAGAAGCTCGCCATGGCGGGAGAGGTTACGGCTGACGGCATTGCCATTAGCACCGACATCATTGATACGTCGCACGTGATACAGTGTCTTTTTACACGGCCATTTCTGGTCGTGTTCACTGTCTGGAACATGGTCATGAGGCGCCGCGCGTTCCAAGCCGCCAGCTCTTTCCCTCGGAGACGAAATCCTAGCACGGTCGCGAAATTCTCTTCCTCCGCTGCAGTCAGGGAAAGCTCACCCGCGAATCTGACTCTTTCGGAGAAGTTAAAGAGCGCAGAAGCATCGACTTCGAGACCCCTTGTTCGCGCTTCAGAGGAAACGATTCGGCGCACAAAACTCGAGGCCGCCAGTGTACTTCGTAAAGTACAGGACACGATTTCCGCGTCCACAACCACGGAGAAGAACAGCGGTTTCAAACCGGAGAACTGGAAGGATGATTGGGGAACGGATAGTACGTCTATGTACTGAATCTTTTGTCTAGAACTTGCCTCAACTCGAGCAGAGCTAGCTCCGTCTAAGAAGGACACGAAGTCTTCGTCAAAACTTGCTTCACGGCCACCTCCTCCTCACTTTAAGCCTCCCAAGAAAGGGAAGAAGAAGAACCCCTCCGTATCATATCCGAGGAAAATTGAAGGGTTGATCGAACCTCAAGTCGAGCCTGTATTACAGGGTGGGACTGCTTGCCGCTCTCCGTTCCGCTTTGTTTCTGAACCTGGCGCCAGACGTCCCTCCGACCTCCGAGCACAAACCAGTAGCGACGCTGAAACATGGACTCGAGCGTGTTTTGTTCAAGTGAGCCCTCATCTCATGAAATTCCGATGGTTCTAACAGACGTGTAGTCCCGGTGTGCATTGGCTGCGAGATCCTCGGTCGCGAGTCTACAACTTGACGCCCTACTTGGAGGAGATACCCGACGTGACTGACTTCGCCTTCGAAAGACTCCCGCCTTTTATCAAGAGCTCTCGAGATGAGGTGGGATGAACTTCTCCTCGTGTCTTTTGCAGCCAGCTGAAATGAACGCAGGATCTATACAACCTTGCCAAACGCGAGGGACGCATGTTCGCTGGCTCGACGTCGTCGCTATCTGGGATGCTTTGTCACGCTTATTTTCTGTTGTCGGAGCACAAACACGTGGACACGAGTTCACTGAGTCATAGATTCATTAGAGAAGTGCGTATTCCGGTAGTTCATGTCTCGACCCCATCCCGACGGTCCACAGGAAAAAGATTTCACGCCGGGGCAGCGGATGGCCTCCACCGTCATGTTCAACTACAACGACGGTGTGTATTCCATCGATTCTCAGTCGGAGGATGATGGGAAGAACATTTTGACCTGGCTGGTGCGTCCATTCGACCTTCCTGCACTGTCAGACTGACGCAAGGAAACAGGGAACACTTCTCGAAAAGTTCCTTACAATGTCAAAGGAGGAATTCGGCACATATCTTCGCTCTTCCCCGACGCCTGCTCTTCCAGATGATGGCATCCGGGAGGCATACCGGTATGCCAGCGTGTGTCACATGATTACATATCTGCTTTATACAAGCTAACCTTCCAATGCAGTCTGAGAAGTTTGTCATGCGTTCCCAACTGGATGGGGTGGACAAACGCCTTCCGGGGACCGGTGTGTTCGATATCAAGACGCGTGCATCTGTTTCCATTCGCATGGATCGATTGAACTTCCAGGTCAGTCGTCTGTGGGTCGAATGTCGCCAGAAGGTTTACGTGTCTCCAGGAAGGGTCAGGGTACATGATCAAGAGCGCTCAAGGCTTGTATGAAAGTTTCGAACGCGAATACTACGACCTCATCCGCTCCGCCTTTCTGAAATACGGGTGCGATTCTCTGGCGCATTGATCCATCGCTTCTCTGATTTTGCGGCCCAGCTTCCAAGTCCGGATCGGGAACATGGATGGGGTCATCGTCGCCTACCACAACACCAAGCGGTTGTTCGGATTCCAATATGTCTCACTGGACGAGATGGACCAGCGGCTGTTCTCCCCCGAAGCTGGCACAGGAGACCAAGTCTTCCAGAAATGCGTGGGTCTTCTAGAAGGCATCGCGCCTGAAATCGTCAATTGCTTCCCGAAACAAGTACGTTTCTCCTCATTGGTATGCACAAGGCACTGATCAAGGTGCAGTCTGTCATTGCTACTTGGGAATGCCCTGAGGACTCGCGGGAACTCTATGTATTCGTCACACCCGCCAATTTCACGCCCACAGACAAAGAACCCAACCCTCCCATGCGCAAGCTCATCATCCGAGCCCAGAACTTCCTCGACGACTCTCCGGTGAACGGCAGCCGTGCGATTGCGAAATGTCACATCTTGCCATGTAAGAGTCTGAAACATTGCATTGCGCTTCGTCACTCATGGTCACAACAGGGACGGTGCATTGGGCACTGACGCACTCGAGTGAAGATCCTAGTGACATCGCGGACAGCTATAGAGCCGTCATGGACCGGAAATTCCGCGCCAATCTCATCCCGACCGGTGTCAGCATGGAGGAGCTTCCCCAGTTCTGGGCCAGTCTCAACTTCGACAACGGTCCACCCGAGCCGGTGCAGTCTCCGGAGGAGTTTGACTTCGCCAAGTTCCGTGCACCCGGCGGCTCAATCGAGGCCCTGCGGCAACTTTCTCGTGATGGGAAAATGCACCTGAAAGCATTGCAGCAGCAGGACGAAGGGAGGAACAAGGTTGTTCTCGGGGAGCCGTTTGACATCACCGATTCGGAAGTCGAGAGCTATCAGGCGAAGGAAGAGCGTGGGCCGTCCTCTTGGACGGCCGAGGAGGAATCGGCTGCTTTTGAGTCGAAGGAATCAGCCGAGACCAAAAATGAGGGCAAGCCTTGATTGCATGTGCAGTCTTATTGTCGGTCTTAAGTACGTACCCACTTATAATCCCTTTATCGCATCTCTGTAGCATAATATCGTACATATGTATCAATTTACCCCCGCTGTCCCAGGTCCCGTTCAGATCAAACATTTACTTATTTGGTTTCCTCGTCACTTACTGACAACTTCCGCCATGGCTTCACGCAACTCAACACAAATAACGCCGTCAGTCTCAGCCAACGGACTCGTCCCCCAGAATCTGCTCGCGCTCGCCGACCCCCCAGCCCGTCAAGTCGACGGCGCAGTCATGGACTACTTCATGATCGAGCTCGTGAACGCGCTGCGCGCCTCTGCTGCCGTTGCGACCGAACGCTCCAAGAAGATCGAGGCGGAGATGGTCGAGGCCGGCCTCATACCACCCGCGCTCTCCGGGCCGACCCCGCATTCGCTGAAGCGAGACGCAACGGCGCGCGACTCGGTCACGAGTGTGAACTCGCGAGCGAGCACCAGCGGACGTGTATCCGGGGCGGACGAGGGCGAGGAGGCCGTGCGTCAGCGGCTCGAGGCTATCGGGATCCATGTCGGCGCGAACTTCACCGAGAGGTGCGTGTGTGTGTCGCCGTGTCGCTTCGGCGGGCCCGCAGTGCTGAATATGCGTTGCGTGGAGGTTGTGTCGGGACCGCCCGTTATTCGGAGAAACACTGGACGCGATCAAATTTATCTGCAAAGACATCTGGGCAGCATGTTGGGACAAGCAGGTCGACAATCTGCGCACGAATCATCGCGTACGCTCCGAAGCTTGTTTCTCTGTGACACCGCCATCCTCATCATCTGGATTTGATCTCTCCAGGGTGTATACGTTCTACAGGATAATAGCTTCAAGCCGGTGACCCGCATCTCGTCATGGGAGGGGCGTGCGGATGCGATACGGCGAGCGAAATTGGTGAGCCATGCTCCTCCTTCCTGGTCGGTGATCTAACAACGCCCTAGTATGTGACACTACCTGCCGGGATAATACGCGGTGCACTGTCAAGACTGGGTTACCAGACGACTGTGTCTCCCGAGATCACTTCACTACCTCAATGTGGTGCACAGTTCACAGAGCCGCAGACGTGATCTGACCAGCCTGCAGGTACTTTCCAGGTGAAGTTGCCCAAAGGGGCATGAGACGATGAAGAGGACATTCTATTGTAAATAAGCACAGAATAAGAATATAATATCTCAACTAGCTCGCTGATGCGGTATAAAAAGATAGCAGTTAGGTATAGATAGGACGAAGGAATCAGACCGCGATGGGCATCGTTTTGGGCAGGGCCAGGATATCGACGGATGCGGAAGGAATGGCGATCAAGCACGGCGACGGCTGATCGGTCGGGGGCGGCGTCTGATCGTCGAGGGGCGGCGACTGATCGAAGGGGGCCGCCACAAGATTGACCATCGGTTTGGGCACGACAGTGTTGACGCTCTCTGGTGGGATGGCGATCAGACACACGGGTGGTTGAGCTGCGGGTGCTGCAATCAGGACATGGATGCCAGTAGCCGGGTTGGGCTCGACTGTGGGGAGTGGGTGCTCCCGGAAGAGGGAGCGCGCTTCCAATTCGGGATCCGCCTCGATGAAGCGGACGACGTCGGCGTCCTCTGCCCCAGGCTGGATCCAGAGGGCGTAGATCCCCAATTGCTTTGCCTGCTGCACGACTTGGAGAGTGGCCTGATTATCATCATCAATCAGTTTGGGATGTAAGATCGTGCGGTGATTGGGACCGACCTTGGGTGGGATCACAATGCAGATGCTGGTGTTGGTCGGATCCGGCAGGTCTGCCAGGGACTTGAGACAAGGGATACCCTGGCTGTGAGAATCCGTGATGTTGATCGGCACAACGTCTCGGTGCACTTTGATAAGATATTGGAGAGCCTGCAGATGAGTCGAGTCAGCTGTCGGTCAACCCCATACTTGCAAGCCGCAGCACACCTTGGTCCCGAATTTTTTCTCGTCTGCTGAAGCACCGACGACTGCAAATTTCTTTGCGGCAAAAAACCGGTTCTTCTTAGTCTCGAAGGACACCGACGTATGGCTTGTCGACAAGGAATGCTGATGCAAAGCTGTCGTGTTGTACAGACAGTGCGACTCGAAGCCAGCGTCTGCTTCGATGAATTTGAGGACCGCATCGTCTTCTACGCCGGGCTGCAGCCACAGCGAGGGGATACCTAGGGCTTTGGCCTGCTGGAGGACTTGCAGCGTGACCTACCGGCCATCAGACGCAGAAAAAGCCGGTGATTGGGGACTGGGCTTACTGCAGGGGGGACGACGATGCAGACAGAGGTGTGGGTTGGATCAGGCAGCTCAGACAGACTCTTGAGGCACTTCAGGCCACGGACGTCTGCTCTGTTGGGGTTGATGGGCACCACATCTTTCTGGCGGTCGGCAAGAAACGCGACAATCTACGCGAGGATTAGGACCTGGAAGAGCGGGCTCGAGTCAGCAGCTCTGACCTTCGATCCGTACTTTGAGCTGTCGGCTGAGGCGCCGACCACGGCAAAGTGCGCAGAGGCGTAGAACTGTTTGACTTTGAGGGCGGTCTGGGAGTCCATGGGAGATGAGTTGGGATGACTGGAAGTGCAAAATGGTGACTCGTTTTATATTCCAGTTGGGCACCCTTGTCGGTCCGATTCCGTTAGAAAAAAGACACTGCATGGATGGCTGATCCGCCACAGCAGCTGATGAGGACGGACGATGCAGGCAGGCAGTGTCGGATTTTCATCCAAGTTCCTGAGGCATGTCTGTCTGATACTGATACATATCGCGGTTAAGATCGTCCCGTCTCGAGATGCGGACGTTATTCCGTGTCATCGACGTCAGCGATGGCAGTCTATTTTGCTTCATCCTGTGCGCGCACGCGTGTGCAGATCCGGTCCAAATTCCACTGGGGACGCGTGTGCTGGAGTGCTGGCGAGTCAAGTCGAATGAGTTGACTCGGGGCTGATAGCGGGATCGCACTCGCGGGTTGCGATCCCGGTGACAAGAATTTGCCACGTCCCCGTACGAGCCAACATGGTCAACAAAGGCCGTACGGTCCGTCGCCGTATCGGCGCGTCTATCCGGATAGCAAGAACACGCGAAGACGCGAGTCGGCTCAACAAAGCCCCGTCAACAGCACTCAAAGCTGTTTGCGGAACATGGAGTGCTGTTTGACTCGATAGCTCCGCGAGTTCCAGATCGAGTTTCAAGAGCAACCGTTGTCGTGACTGTGATCGTCAGACCAGGCCTAGCTGTGCAAGGATCGCGAAGATGAGCTGGAGATGGACTATGCGATTGACGTATGTACCAAGGCTAATCTGAAGGCTGTGTAATTCATCAATTAAGGTTAGGGTTAGCGCACTGTTGGACGCAAAAAAAGGTGCCCCGACGACACAAGCCAGTAGTGCAGCGGCAAGGTCATCGCGTCCTTCTGTTGCAAGCAGAGCAGAAGAACAAGGGCGGCAAAAATTAGATAACCAAATAGAAGGGACTGTGTCCCTCTAATAGTGGTTAAACTATTAAGAACAGATACTACACTTGATCTAAGCCAAAAGGCCAGAGTGGTAAAGATCCAATTTGTTCAACGCTGGAATTTATACGTTTGATGTGGTGGTCCGTGCGTGAGCACGTGATTCAGTTCACGTGCGGTTCTCCCTCATGGACTTGGCTCAAAATTTGTTTACATTTTGAACATGACTATGTATCGCCCGCGACGGGTAATGGATCCGTGATGAAGATATTGTCACCTTTGATGTTGAGGAAAGTGTACTACATGTGCAACGATTAGCAAGTATTCGCAGCGGGGACATACAGGACTACTACGTACCGATGCCAGTTCACTGCTGCTTCCTCGGTTGTAATTTGTGTAGATAAGATTAGGCTGTAAGCACACGTTCAGAGGGGTCTCCATGGTCCACGCATTGCTTACCTCGCTCCAGAAAGGCCGGAGTCCCGCATGCTCTAGTGTTTCCCACCAGCTAAGAAAGTCGGTAAACGACATCCCCCAGAGATGTATCTCCATCGACAGCTGTCCAAACGGCAGAGGTTTGCCAGACGAGAGATATGGCTTTAGCAGTGCAGCCATTGTATCGAATTCCCAGCGTTCAATATCGATCTTCAGAAAGTCGATGTGAGTATGACCTGTATCGCACTTGCTCTTAGCCCAGAGACACAGTTATGGCACATCGCCCCTACCATTCAACTCCATCAGAGTCTCTAGGGTGTACAACTTGAGGTGATCACCCGGTCCATGAGCGTTCCTCTCGGCGAGGCCATACTGTCGGAAGTGCGCTCGCTTCGCATACGGGCGGATTTCGGGTCCAAAAGACTTGACCGAAAAGTCGTAGCCCCAGACCTCGCAGTGTTCCGTGTTCGCCAGGATGTCCGCTTCGAACGAAGATTCGTGATTGTTCCCTGGTGCATCTTCAGCAAGTGGACGCCCCAACACCGCGTAAACTGAGCACCGAAAGAATATATGACGCAATTGGGCTTGGTCTCCAACCGGGTGATCCCGCACACCCACTTTCCTCCGTCGCCCAACGCGCCCAGTCGCTGGATTTCGTGTGGACAATTGAATGCGGCGGGAAAGAAGCTCCCTAGTCCAACTGTAAACGGGCCTTCATGTTGAGATCAACCGAGAGAATGCCGCACAGACGGTGTATGCAGGCCAAGGGTCCTTGTTTGCGGGGAAGCTATCCGTTCAAGGGTCACGACCTATCCTCGGAACGCTTGCACGCGATTGGGACGCACAGAGATATGTCACTGGGACGCGGGCCGAATTTCTGAATCAGCGCCTGGCGTTCGTGCAGGACCTTGCTGTATATCCTCTCCGACTCGGCAACGCGCCGAGGGAGGTCGGGATCCTCGATATGCTCGTGGACGTGTACGGGAGGTGGAGGCGCATCGAAGGGCCCCACGAGGTAAAGAGTGAAGACAAGAGCCACTAGTATTAGCACGACATAACGTGGGTGCCGCAGGTAAGCCGCCGACATGGCGGAGAGGCGGAGAGAGATGATGAGACCACACCCGCGCCTGCGCGTTTGGAGTGATCGGTGATGCTGACGCTGCAGCGCTTATGTGGCCCACTTAAAGTTAATATGCCGGCCCGACAAAGCTGCGAGTTGCGCCTTTCAACTTCGACCACATCCACCGTTACCCTACCCACCAAATTCATCGAAGGCCGACCCGAATGTATCGACTTTCAGGCTAGACGCGGGGCCCGGGCCGACCCGGAAACGTTGAGAGCCGCATCGGCTCATGAATAACAAATTCCGGAGACTCGGTGGGAAACCCGCATTGACAATGGCGGTTGCTCAACAACCGTAAATACACATTTATTCATTCGCGCCCGCGCCCAATCACCTAAACTATTCTGCTTCTTATCCACGACTGTTTCGCTGCGTTGACCGCGAGCCAACATGGCGTTGGACCTTTCCAGTCTCCGAATCGTTTCCTACGCAGCTCTCGTCCGTGCTCGCTTGCCGTTCTCTCGAGGCGCGCTCAATTCGGTCTACAGGCAGTCTTCTCGTTCATCAATTGGTGCCTCACGATTGCACGGCTGAGCTACACCAGCAACCTCCCGCGCGGAGACACTCTGAATGGCGGTGAGAGTTGTATTCGCATGCGTCTGGGACTGCTCGTTGACTCCGTGCAGGCAAAAACTTCTATGGCGCGCACCGCTTTAATACAAGTTGCTCGTTCCAGTCGGACTAACTCACACGCTCGCAGACCCCGACATCGTCGAACTTCTTATCACCTGCATGATGTCTATCGCATGGGCGCTCTTCCTGTCAGCCCGCCTGCCTGTCGTCGGTTTCTCAAGCGCTAACGCGTCTGCAGCATTCGCACGATTTATCAACGTGTAGAGGGCAACCTCGTGTCTACCTTCCGCGGCGAACTGGTTGGGTTGTTCGTGATCTGGATGTTTTGGACTGTCGGGGGTGCGATTGCCAGTGTGCGTCAATCTCCAGATCCTTGTCATCGACACCCATCTCAGCCGTTCCGTTCCGTTTCCAGCAATCTTGGGGCAACCTTGGCTGGTGCGCGCAGTTCCAAGCCTGCCAAATCCTGTCTGCGATCGTCGCCTTCTGCTGGCTGTCGTGGCTGGCTGTCACATTCAATCTGGGTGTCAGCCTCACGTTCATCGTTGCCAATAATGCGCTTCTGGAGCCGCTGCACGGACAATGGGTCGGCCCTGCCGTTCCGAACACCTCGCAAACGGGCAACAGCCGTCCGGTCTCTGCTGTCTGACCAACTTCCTCTGAATGGACTGTATAATCTCCCGGTACATATGTTGTATGCGTGCATTGACTCTCCTTTCTCTGTCGCTCCCTGAAATCCTGACTTTCCTTTGCGTAACATAATCACAAATACAAGTTCGTTTGCATTGGAGTACAATATGTACAGTAGATGTACATAGCTTCACTGTGCCTCGGTGGCCTTGAGCCACATTCCACCCTCGGAGTACATAGTGAGATGCATGCGCGGCTTGAACAGCTCGATTCCCTTGCGGCCCGGGAAAGCAGCCCACTCGGCCGGCGGACGGGATTCCGGAGGGAACGCCTCCTGGTCGAGCGAAAAGGAGGAGAAATTTTGCAGGAGCCGGATGAGGATGAATGACATCTCGTTATACGCGAACTGCAATCTGTCAGCCGATCATTCAGAAATCATTCCCGATCTCCTACCTGCTGTCCAAGACAGATGCGGGGCCCGGCGTTGAAACTGCGTCGCCAAAGTCAACATCGTCACAGGTGTGTTTCGTAGGGAGTCGCAGCTCACGGCAGGAACTGAAACGAATTCTTCAGTAGATATTTCTGCAGGCGGTGGTCCAAGAACCGATCCGGGTCGAATTCTTCAGCGTCGGGGCCCCACAGGTCTTTGCGCCGGTGCATGAGCAACACGGAGTAGGGCGTTTGCGTCCCAGCCGGGATGTAAATCGGTTTCTCGTTGGGATCGGGAGATGGCCAGACGGTCGCGTTGACGGATTCCCTGCGAGCGAGCGAGGTCAGCACGGATCAGAATCAACCCCGGACGAGATCGGCAGATATGCACCTGACATTGAATGGACTGCGAGACGTCAGTCAGATCTGCCGGAAGCTGCACCGAAGCGACATACACGGATGGATAGAGCCGCATCGTTTCATTCAAGACAGCGCGCAGGAATTTCATGTCTTTGATGTCGTCGTAGGTGGGCCGGCGGCTGGGTCCCACCTGCTCGAGGATCTCGTCCCGGAGCCGCGCATTCACCTCGGGATGCGTTGCCAGGCTACAGAAACCTCAGCGCCGGATGAGTTGAGAGCATCTGGCTCACAAATACACTGCCACAGTCAAGGTCCACTGTGTCGTATCCTTTCCAGCGAGTAGAATGTTCAGTCTGAGGGCCCATGTTGTATAAACGGAGATCTGGAGAGCTTTTTGCTTACGTTTCATCCTTGAGCACCTTGAAGTCTGTATAGCATGAGACGGGCTAAAGATTGGATCCCGAAAGCAAAGACAAATACCCGAAGTCATGTCCAACAATTCATCCAAAAGAGTCCTGCCTTCAAAGAGAGCTTCTTGATTCTTTGTCTCGTGCGTAAGGGATGTTGACAGCTGCTTCCGCTGAACAGCCTGGTGAATGATCGGGTCGATATAGGCGCTGACGAGTTTCATCGGATCCGTCGTTCTATCGCGAAACATCTCCAGCAGCGGCCAGACCCAGCCGACCCGAGCCCTGTTCGAGATGTGGAGCATGGACGCGTTGAAAGCGGACGAGAACTGCATCGCCTGTTGCGCGTTGGCAGACTCGGACACGGGTCTCGTGAAGATCGCATTGTGCGGGAACGACAGATTCGCGTCCAAGCTGTGCAGGCTGGATCCGAACAAGAAATCGGTCGCCGAGTCCATAGTAAAGCGGCCAATGAGATCCTAGAAGGTCCAAAGACATATGAGATCACAAGAACGAGAAACCAGACTGGCGCCGCTGACCTGGAAGTCGATAGCATATCCGGTGCGGTTGCGCTGCTTGATTCGAAAGATGACTGCTTCGGCGTGCCGGTCAAAGATCTCGAAGTGGCTGATTCGGTCCCGACTGAAGAACGGCCGTGTCATCGCCCTGTGAAACTTCCACATCTCGCCTGATTGATCAATCTCAGCACGCAAGTCTGTTTCGATGTCATACCATCGGAATTGAACACTCCGGTCTGAACCGACATCATCAGCCTGTAATCACCCTGGAAATGGCACGCGACTGACCCCGAGCACGGAGCTCATCCCCAGCTGGAAGCGTTCTCCCTTGACAAAGCCCGTGAAATTCGTCGCGAGGATCTCTTTCACGTGCTCCGGGCACGTCGTGAGGACGATGTTCTCGAACATGGGATTGAGATTGACAACAGGCCCGGTCTCATCAAGGACATCGCTGAGCCCGTCCCCCGGATATCCGTGCTGCCAGATCTTCTGCATGCGGATCAGGAGGTCCAGATTACCTGGCAGCTTGCCAACGTCGGACGTGGGAGCGAGACGCGCGCCCGCCGCTTCGGCTTCGCGTCGGTGGCGATGGTTGCGGAGAGCCAGGCAGCAGACGCCGTAGAGCGGCACACTCGCAGCGGCCAGGACGAGCCAGGTCCAGTGCGACAACGCGACATCGAGGCCAGGCACTCGTCGGAGCACCGCGAGCAACACAAACGGCACCGCAAGCCGGACACCGCGCTGGGCGAGAAACAGAACTCCAGGAGCAAACATATGGGTCGCAGGGGGGGTGCAGTTCCTTGGCTTCTGCACATGTGTATGTGTATGCTATCCCATATTCACATGCATCACGGTCTGTGGGGTATGTGCGGGGTAGTCAAGATTTGATTTCAGCACGTGTCATGTCATGGGATCATTCTAGGAGAGCAACAGACAGTCGTCTATCAAAACAGGCAGCTTACAGACTACGACACGAGATCCCTCTACTTCTCGATCTCAACACCAGAGTCGCTTGCAGAGCTTTCGCTGAAAACCGGACGCATCTTGGCCAATCCGTACGCATTCTTGAAGAAGACCACATCGCCTTCGTCCTCCACGAACTGCGCTTATATGAGCTCATGCGATGAGAAAGACTCGAATGTCGCACCTTGCATTCTTTGTAAACGCGATACATCTCGGCCCACCCACCAGGGGGACCGTCCAGGACGAGACCGGGGGGCAGGACCTTGCGCAGAGCAGCACTGGCTTCCCAGCTGGAACAAAACATAAGTAGGATTCAAGGGCCCGTTGGATGGATAACATACGCGTTGTAGTGCGGAATCTTGCTGGAAAGGTGGTGCGCGATGTGAGTCTCAGAGATGCCCATACTGTGGTGTCTCCATGTGAGTGAGTGCAAGCATGGATTGCAGAAACACAAACGTCGCGTGAGCGCCTATCCATCCCATGACACTGCCGAGATCTCCGAGGAGGTTGCGGTCCAGAGTTGCCAGTGCCCCGCGGGTGAAAGTGAACTCTCCGGCCCGGTAGTGGGGCAGAAGAGGATCGGTGTGTTGCAGGAAGGTGATAAGAACAAGCCAGTGGTTGACCCTGGAACGATCAGACGCGACTTCGCAGTGAATCGCTGAGCATGCTCACCAGAGGTAAGGAGCACCGTAAACACGGAAGACCGTAGCAGGGCCGTAGGCTCGAACAGCAAACGCGATCGCAGTCAGCCACGCGAAGATACCAATGTCAGACACAACAATCTGCCAGTAGTGGTGCGCAGAGTAGATGATGGATTTGGGTGAAAAGTCTGGGGCTCTCTTTAGCTAGCACAGCACGAGAAACAACCAAAACGTACGGTTGGTTCCAGGAGGGTAACGGCGCTGGCCAGAGGCATTGGTCATCAGGTACAAAGGCCATCCGGCGATCTTGGGTCAAGTGAGTACTGATAATGGTCGTGACACGGGAAAGCACCGACCAGGAAAGACATGAAACCCAGGGTAGCGCCGAGGGGTGAGTCTCCAAGAGCCTCCCACATTTCCTTCTTGACCTCCTCAGTCACCGAGGAGCCGAGGGCGTCTTCCTTCGTGGGGTCGAGAGGCTTCAGGCCAAGCTCAGACCGCGTCGACGGGACGAAAACTTGATCCTGTGTCATATGTCCGGTGGATGCATGGTGCTTGGCATGGCTGACACGCCACGAGTGGTACGGGACACCGAGCCTGGGGAGAGTGAGCATCTGATTCGCCACAACAAAGGGCTTGCTCGTACGCGGAGTGCAGGATCCAACCGACAGTGTTATTGATGGCCTTCGATTCCGAAAAGGCCTGGTGACCTGCTTCATGGGCGACGACCTGAGAAAGAGTTGAAGCAAGCGTAGAAGCGCTTGGTATGACAGCTCACCCATAGCCCGGTAGCGAACAGTCCCGTCCAAAAGCTGTACAGGGCCCAGAGACTGCAGAACGCGCTGAGCGGGGGAGAGGCAGGATAGTCACTGACAACTCACGAGAATCGGGCGAAAGGATAGAGGGCGGGATAGGGCAGAGACAACGTCTGGGGGTTGATCAAAGTATCCGCATATTCCGTCGCTTTATAGATTCCAGCTATGACAATCATATTCCAGAACCTGAACGAAAGCTTAGACAGCTTCAAAGCACGGGCCTGTATCAACCTACATGTACATGGACGACTTCAAAGCAGATCGCTTGAAGCAATGAGCAGGAATGGCCGCAAGCAGCTCTTTAATGGTGATGTCGGGTACGACATATACGCCCTGCTCCTGTTTTACGGTCGACATGGTTGGAAGCGAAAAGGAGTGCCGCCGTCCAAGGTAAGAGCGAGTGGAACCGGTGAAGGTGCACTCGCGCAAAAAGAAGGTGGAGGGGAGACAACGCAAAGTAACGCGTCAATCAGTTTCTCTTATTCGATCGGCAAACTCCGCACTGGGGTTCGGCCCCAACAGTCTGTTGCCCGAGGCATTTCTTGGCCAAGACCGCTCCAGTGCAGCCTAGGAGTCTTCGAGGAGCTGCTCAGAGATGCTCCACGCATAATTTACTATCACTCGATCTTGTTTGCACACTCAAGCATCGCTACCGTCTTATGAACAAGTCCCAGCACTGGGGACGGTCTCCTCCCTTGCCAACTTTGTGCTACGTTCTTGCTGTCTTCTTTCCAACGTGACAGAAGAGAACGATTCAGAACTGCGAGAATCCAGAGCCCTGACATGGCAGAGATCGTGTCAACACCCCAAATTCCATGTACATAGACGCTTCCGCAGAATCCGCACACCTCGGACTCTGGTAGGAACGATCTTTTGGATGACAGAGCGGAACCTCTCGCGCTGATAGCACTAAACACTCGAGTGGGCGAGCTCTGAGCGAGCTTCGAGTTGGAGTGAGGAATCGATTTGTAGCAGTTGCGGCTTTAGGCTCAGGTTGTTCCGTATATAGGTCGCTCCGCACTACTACCGCAAGCGTCTTCCAAGTTCTCCCTCTCCATTGATGTGATGAGCTCCCAACTACTGGAAGGTCTCTTTTCTTCGTCGAAGGCAGCGTTTTCCGTCCTCCTCGTCCTTGTCTATGGCTATCTTCTTCGCAAGTTTGGCTTCATCACGTCGGAGAGCGAGAGCGTACAACCACTCTCCTGCTTGCGGCAACGCAGAAGTTGACTTTGCGTAGAACATCAGTCAGCTGTTGACAAAGTTTATTCTGCCCTCGCTGCTATTTACCGAAATCGGTCCTCTGGCGACGTGGAACAACCTGAGGAATTGTAGGTGGTGGGCCGGTGTGACGTCAGTCTATGCTTACTTGCAATTCCAGACTGGCCAATCATTCCCTTTTCGATTCTCTTCCAAGGAATATCCTTTGCTTTTGCAATGATATCTTGCTCCGCCGGAATGCCTCAGCACTAGTTAGTCGTGCTGGTCTTTTATTCCAGCGTGCTAACAGGCCCAAGCGTTCCCATGTTCATATTTAACAACGTTCGCAAGCTCGCAAGGGTCCATCCAGAAACTGAAATATACCTAGGTCACCTCGCTGCCTCTGCTCTTGATCAACGCCTTGGGTGCTACTGGTGCTTTGGATCCGCTTGTCACACCCGACAGACCGCTGGAGACTCTCATGAGGCTAGGGCGAGTGTACATTCTCATCAACGCTCTGGTCGGCAATCTGATGCGATTCGCCATCGGTCCTTGTGAGACTGCAGTTCCAATCTGCATAATCGCCGCCTGACATTGTCCCAATCAGATCTCATGAAAGCACGGACTAGTAACGAGGAAGTTGGACACATTGCACTCCCGGACGAAGAGCTCTCTGGCGAATTCTCGAGATCGCGGCTTTCCATAGAAGTGGCACGAAGGCGGTTCTTGAGTGTTCTCAACCCCCCTCTGCTGGGCGGCATTAGTGCGGTCTTCTTTGGGCTGATACCTTGGTTCAACACGGCTCTTTTTGGATCCGGTTTACTCTCTCCGTGAGTGCACTGGTAAGCATAACACCGCGACATGTCTGATATCAGGTAGCCTGTCCGAAAGCATCAACGCAGTGGGGAAGCTGTTTAGTGCATTGCAAATGCTGATATGTGAGATCTACCCTGTAGCGTTCTTCATCCCTCTCACGCGAGCAGTGGGGGCCAATCTGCACTCGAAGAAGGGCTCCCATGTCAAGGCTACACATCTGTCGATGCTTTTCCTACACAGATTCCTCTTCGCGCCGGCAATATCTATCAGCTTCATCCACATCATTCGCCAGAAGTGGCCGCATCTTCTCGTTAGTCTTCCCGAAACCTGGCCTGCTTCTTCCCTCATCTCTGCAGGGCGATGACCCCATGCTTTCCTATGTCCTGTGCATGTCCAACGTCGGTCCGCCTGCACTGACGCTGTCTGCGGTTGCTGTCATGTCCGTGGAACCTTTTCCTGCGTTCGAACAGAGTTGACACAATCTCAAGGGCGGAACTCCCCCCAGATATCGAGGGTCAAGTTTCTCGAATCCTGACATTCGCATATGCGGCCTCCCCGCTGATAGCTTTCCCCGTTACATTAGCACTGCGTTTAGCCACACCAGCTGTACATTGAGCTTTTCACTTGTGATTACAAATCATTTGCAAACAAACGCGTCGCCACGCGCTAATATCAACAACCACGTGATCGTAATTCTCACTGCAGATGGCGGTGCTCCCTCCAAAGTTGCCTCCGGCCTTTATGGTGCCCCAGTCCTACATTTCACGCGTGTCTCGCTTCATCTAACACACTTCTAACTTGTGTATATTTCGCTCGTATCACAGACACGCGCATCCATCTATCCGATCTCGTTAAATTACGATCCATTCCAAGAGATCCTATTGCTGTACTCGCGCACAACACACCATGCCGTCTGACATTCCTCGCTATATCGGAAATTACCATCTAGGAGAGAGTCTGGGTTCAGGATACTCTGGTGCGTGCGAAAACTCTACCTTCCCATCCTTCTCATCTCAGCACTAGGGTCGATTTTCAAGGCGAGACAAGTCCACACAGGTGAAGTAGTTGCGCTCAAGGTGCAGAATGTGAACCACGAGTGCCCTACCAATCGATACGAGCGCGGGTTTTATCCCTCACTACAAGGTATCTCGTATCGCGTGTTCGGCGCGTCCAAACTCGCTTACGATTCTCGCAGGTGGTGTTGGAATGCCCACATTATGGGGCTCCGGGGTGGAAGGCCAATGGGACTGGCTAGCCATCGATCTCCTTGGCCCAAGTTTGGACAACCTGTATCGGCGGAGTGGGAAGGATACTATGGACCTCAGTTCCGTATGCACTATTGCCGTTCAGCTCGTTCGTGGACCTCCGACCTGTTTCCATCGCCTCTGACGACGTTATCATAGATCGCACGGCTAGAGTTTATGCACAGCCGGGGTACCGCACAGCCCTTTTCGTCTGACGGCCATCTCAGCTCACTTGCAATCCAGGTATCCTGCACAGAGACATCCAGTTAGGGAATTGCGTAATTGGATTGCCTCCGTACGATCATATCATCTATATGATCGATTTTGGCTTCTCAAAACGATACATCGACCAACACACGAACCGGCACATTCCCGACAGTCGTGCAAAACGGGACTTCATCGGGAATTATTGGTTCAGTTCGGTTGGCGTGCACTGCCGTGGTCGAGGTGCATCCAGTCTCTTCTATATCTGGTTCGTTTTGGCTCAGGTTCATAGTCCCTTCGCGCCGTGACGATCTCGAAGCGGCAGCGCTGATGCTCATCCACTTGCTCACCCCACGGGGGCTTCCCTGGACGCGTAACGGCGTGCCGAAGACGGACGAGGCGCACGAGCGGCTGAAGAAGGAGAAGAAAGCAGCGCGGCCAGAAGACCTTTGTGCTGGACTGCCGGAAGAGTTCGAAGAGTTTCTATTCTACTGCCGACGACTTCACTTCCAAGAGTGTCCGGACTACGACAATTGGAAGGAGCGATTTCGGGAACTGGCTCAAACTGAGGGTTTCCCTGAGAGTGATGACTTCATCTGGCCACCCGTCGTCCAGGTAGGCTTCGGTCACGATTTTGGCCACTACTTTGACTAATGCTGAATCAGCCTAAGCCATTCTCGAAGGCGACAGCTCGTCGAAGCATGGCGCCCGACCCACAGGACGTGGAACGAATTCTGCACGACCTCGTTAAAATGAACATGGACGATGCGACCAGGGCAGGATCATCCCAGTCCATGGAGGTGATCGACATTACTAGTGACTCCGAGCACGAGATTCAGACTATTCCACCCCCTCACCTAACACCCAAGGCCCACAAACTCAACAAGATCACGAGAAAACTTGCAAATGCGGTTGACAACGCGACTCTGTCGGGCCTGGTACTTGAGTTCATCACTATTCTACAATCAAATAGCTCTCGTACCCTCACAAGAGAAGCATCAAGTTTTCTGGACGCTCTCTACAAACAGCTTGCCGATCCTTCCGTGTTTGAAGCACGCGCTCCTTTACGGTGCATTGGACCTCCCTTTCCCGTCATTTTGACTGATCTCTTTGCCAGGACTTCGCGGCAGTCCTCTAACAAGAGCTCGCAGACGGAAAAGGAACCAGCGCATGTAAAACTGGGTGTTGTCGCACGACTGAAGCGCGAAGTTGGGAGTGCACCTAATAACAAAACGCTTGCGGCTATGATACAAGATTTTGGTCAAGTCACGAACAACAGCGCTGGGCGAACGATCAGCAAGGTCTGTGATCTCTGCTCAACATCTGCAATGCGCTCAACGAGCAATAGGATGGGTTTGCATTCCTTGAGGGGCTTGCGGGAAGGTTGAAGGATTTGAAATAGATGGACTTGGCATGTAAAGTAAATGACCGTGAGCCAGCCAGTGCTCGGTCGGAGGTCGCTGTAAAGACAGATCCGAGTGTACAATTTGCCTCCGGCAGCGAGTGATGGACCAATCAGGATGGAGATCAAGCGAGGCTAGAACGCATCCTCATATGCACCCTCATCTCGAGCGCCCACGCACTGCCCACACACTCTTGAGGCCCTTCCATGGACTGTCTAGACCACAAGGGACCGGTCCAATAGCTATTTGCAATCGAATGATCATCTCATCCGTATCGCATGACATCATTGGTCGGGGGGCCTCAACTTTCCATCGACCTAGATCTTACCGGTGTTCTAATCCATCCTGAACCCTATATAAAGGCCGTTACTGGTCTCAGAACCAAAGCTTTGACACCACACATGTCTTCCAACGCGTCTGTCTCTTCTCTCCAGGCCGAGGTTAACCGCCTCCGCCTCGAGCTCGAGTCCCACCAGACCAAGGCTGGGACTGAGCCCATCACCGTTGGCAACTACCTGCTCGCTCGCCTTGCTCAGTTGAGCGTTACGGTGCGTTCTTTCCCTTTCCCCGTCCTCGCGATATGCATGACCCAGGTGTTGACGCGTCGTAGAAATTGTTCGGCGTTCCGGGAGACTTCAACCTCGGGTTCTTGGACATGGTGGAGGACCATCCGACCATCGATTGGGTCGGCAATTGGTACGCGGTGCTTTGCCTCTCGTTACTCGTGGCAGGCTCACACACGCGTGATCAGCAACGAACTGAACGCGGCATATGCTGCTGATGGGTATGCTCGCGTCAAGGAGCACAGTGTCGGGGCTCTTCTCACGACGTGCGCCGATCCCTCCGCTTGAGCACTCCGTCCGCTGATCAGTACGCAGATTTGGCGTTGGTGAACTGTCGGCGATCAACGGCATTGCTGGGGCATTTTCGGAGATGGTGCCCGTAGTGCACATCGCCGGTGTACCCAGCGTCGATCAACAGAAGAGCAAGCCGCTCCTCCATCATACGCTCGGCGATGGTCGGTGAGTGCGAGTGGACATGTGCATATCAGTCCGCTTGACGCAAAGAACCCCAGATTCGACGCTTATTTCAAGGCGTCTGAACAGTTCACCATCTCTCAGGCCAACTTGATTGACAAGGACACTGCGGCAGCTGAAATAGACCGTGTTCTCACCGACTGCATCACTCTCGCTCGTCCCGTGTACATTGCCCTCCCCACCAATATCGCCTTCACCAAGATCTCCTCGGAACGACTAAAGATCCCGCTCAGTCGCCTTCCTCCCCCCAACGCACCTGATGTCGAGGCCTTTGTGTTAGACGAGATTGCCAAGTTGGTGAAAGAGGCTGACGACGACGTCGTTTTCCTCATCGATGCATGTGCCATCCGGCACGATCTCCGCAAAGGTTGGTGACTGATTCTGAGCTGGAGATAGCATGTTAACGCTGTGGAATTCCAGAAACCAACGACCTGATTGTCAAGACCGGATATCCTGTCTATTCTGCTCCGATGGGGAAAACCGCTGTGCCGGAGAACTACGAGCGATATGGTGGAGTACGTTATTCCCGCTGGCCTCCTTCGCCTTCGTTCATGTGGCTGACATGCTGCTGAAGATCTATGTGGGATCCATCAGTCACCCCGAAATCAAGGAGAAGGTAGAATCCGCCAAGTTGATCTTGTCGATTGGTGGATTGAGGAGCGATTTCAACACTGGAAACTTCACGTACTCGATTCCTGCTAGCAGAACAATTGAGGTGCGTCACTCCCGCTGTTCGTGGAGCCTCAGCTGAATCCGCTCGCAGTTCCATTCCGACCACACCAAGGTTCAGCATGCCGCCTTCCCTGGCATTGGAATGAAGGAACTTCTTCCTCTGGTCACGGCTCGTCTGGAGCCCGCCGTCAAGAAGATGCCTGTTCCGCCCTTCGTTGCATTTGTCCAGGAAGAGCCGAACGATGTGATTTCGCAAGCTTGGTTCTGGCCGAGGATGAGCAAGTTCTTCCGCCCGAAGGACATCATTGTGGCCGAGACGGGTCTGTCTTTTCGGAACACGATCTGATTGTAACACTGATTTGTTGGATAGGAACATCGAGTTTCGGTGTTTTGGATATTCCGCTGCCTCAAGATTCTATTTTCGTCAGCCAGATTCTGTGGGGCTCCATTGGCTGGACCGTTGGTAGCACTTTGGGTGCCGCGTTCGCTGCTCGTGACTTGAAGCTGGGACGGACAATACTATTCGTCGGAGACGGCTCTTTGCAGCTGACGGTCCAAGAGCTTTCATCGATGATCCGACACGACCTCCAAAAGCTCACGATATTTGTGCTCAACAACAGCGGGTACACCATCGAGGTATGTGCCGTCACGAGACTCTGGATCAAGTTGATGAACATTGTCTGCTCAGCGCTATCTGCATGGAAAAGAACGCAAATACAATGATATCGCCAACTGGGAATGGACGAGCCTTTTGAAGGTCCTCGGCGACCCCAAGGGGGAGAAGACCGAGTCGTTCACGACTCGAACCAAAGAGGAGCTCGGAACCCTACTTGAGACGGAGTCATTCGCGCAGTCGAATAAGATCCAGCTCGTAGAGGTGGTGATGCCCCGATTGGATGCTCCACGTGCGTTGGAGCAGCAAGCAGAGCTCAGTGGCAAAACAAACTCCTATGCCGCGTAGTAGACCGATTATTCCTGTACCTTTAGTTTCACGCCCATCAAATGCATTTATCTCAATGAACGTCGGTGGCGGGCAGGACAAACGAGGCAGTCACGCATCATCCGCGAGTTAGCTAGCCTCGTGTCCCGGAGATGAATCCGCTTTGGGGCTTTTGTTAGAGAAAATCCAGAAAGGAAACAATAAACATTGCAGGCTGCAGTCAACAGGCGCTGTAAGATTGGAGAACAAGGCAACGAGGCCTGCGGCTGTCAGGCATTGTTCAGGCATCTTGCTCGGCCTGCGGAGCTGATTGTTGACGTAATGGCAACTGACTAATTTTGGAACAACCACTTTTCTCATCCCGCATTGTGGACCCCGGCCTATCGGTTGATATAAGGCCCGTGGGTCACAAGCGACATACTCCCTCCCTCCTCCATCATGTTCGCCAGGTTGCGACCCCTTCTTCTCCTCCCGACCCTTGTCGCAGCCGTAGATAGGGGTCTCTTCACCTCGTCCGTCACGTATTGCGAACCCCCCGAAACGCTCCTCGTCCAGCAATTCGACATCAAGTACACGACCGCCAACCAATCCATAACCTTTGACATTTCCGCCGCTAGTGTCGTGCGTGTCGCTTCTGCGTGTGGAGTGTGCTCGCATCTCATGTCATGATGGCCCACAGCAAGCTAATGTCAGCGTCTCCGCAAACGTGTTGGTCATGGTGTATGGCATCAAGCTGCTCAACACCACCATTGACCTGTGCAGTATCCTTGCGGGGGCCTTGTGTCCACTCCCTATGTATAATTTCGTGGGGTCAGATTCCATATCCCTCCCCGAAAATCTCGGTGTGGTGAATAAGATTCCTTCGATCGCTTTTGGCATTCCCGACCTCGAAGCATATGCCCAGCTAAAGCTCGTCGAGGTATGTCTGTAATTGTCTCCTATGTTCCGTTGTCTTACATGTCTTAGGTTGGCACGGGGAATATCAAAGCCTGCGTCCAGGCGACCCTGTCAAATGGATGGTCTACGCATCAGGAAAGCGTTTCATGGGCGACCGCGGCCCTTGCATTCTTCGCATTGCTTGTTGGAGCCTGGCAGTCCGCGCGCACGGTCTACGGTGTGGTGCCATACCGATTTGTCGAGCTGCTCCACCTTTATCAAACCATCGCCACCACGGCTCTCTTGAGCATCAACTTTCCCACCCTCTACCGCGCGTACGGGCTCAATTTCGCGTGGGCCATGGGTCTTATCAGCTCCCCGCATTCCAAATTGCAGACCTCGATCGACAACATGCGCGCGTTGACGGGAGGTAGCCTTGCCAATTCCTCGTCAGGCTCTGCGGTAGGGTTTGTCGATCGGAAGCTGAGTCCGTGGAACACTGCTCTGACCCAGCCTTCGACGGGATTCTCCACTTCGTTGGCGCAATCTTTCTTTGCAACCGGGCCTCTTGAGTCCAACTTCTCGCTGTCACAAATCTCGCTGAGCCAAGTACGCCAGCCGCCTGTGAGCACCGCTGTCGTCAACGAGGTCCAGACTGTCACGGACAGCTCGGCCAATGTTCTGAAAGCGGGCTTACCGATCTACGTCAACTCGATCCACATTGGGACCGCGAACACATTCATGACCACATTTCTCGTCACCCTCGTCATCATCGCCATCTTCATTGCTGTGGCAGGCATTCTGTTTGGTGTCGTGGTTGCTGCACGTTGGTCGCGATGGGGCGGCAAGTCTCTGAGAATGTGGTACATTCCGTACGTGCGATCATGGGCTCTGCGGGTGGTACGTTACGTCGCGTTTGATCGGTGATCCGAGCTGACAGATCTGGAAACAGGCGCTCGTTCTCATTGCCCCGATCTCGCTCTTTGCGCTCTACCAGTGGTCTTTGAAAGACTCCTGGCTATCTATTCTGCTCTCTGTGCTGACCTTCCTGGGAATCTGGGCGTTTGTGCTGCACGCGGCATTCCGAACGCTGAGACTAGCCCGAAGGGAAACATCAGAAGCACTAGAAAGCGACCAAGCACACCTAGACTCGCACGCGTCTCTCTACGCACAGTACCGCACGGCCCGGTACTACTTCTTCCTCCTGTTCCTCGGCTCGACACTCGTCAAGGCGATCGTACTGTCTGCTGCGCAGGACAACGGCCTCGCGCAGGTGGTGCTGTTCCTGATCGTCGAGTTGGCCGTACTCGTCGCGAACATCGTTCTGAAGCCATACCGGACCCGCGGCGGGGACGTGTTCTCGACATTCCTTGCCGTCGTGCGCGTCGTCTGCACGGGGCTGATGCTGGCGTTCGTTGAATCGATCAACGTCGCCGCGATCCCCCGAGTTGCCATCGGGGCCGTAGCACTTGTGATCTTCTCTGTGGCGGTGCTCATTGTCGCCGTCAACATCTTCCTGCACTCGGGCATCTCGTGGCTCTGGCGTCACAGGAACGCAAGGTCGAGGATGGCCTTGTCGTCGAGCTCGTCGCTAGACGCGGAGAAGGCCCAGATGGAGTCGCCGAACCGGATAGACTCGGAGTCGGCGAGCGTGCAGGGGTCTGTGCCGCGCTCTGAGGCGGGACTGATGCAGAGTGACCACCGATGATGATATGGCAAGATGTACGACCACGGACACTACTCACGACTGTTAAATAGATATAGACACCACAACACACTCACTCGTTAGCAAAAGTTCTCTCTAATTGCCCATGTATTATCAGCATTTGTACTTATTTTCCGCATCGTACACAGACCAGACATGGAATACCGACGTCATGTCAGAAGCTGCGCTAACTTGGCGGAAGCCGCGACGTGCTAAATTGACTGTGCTGAAGCTGGTTTGCCATTTATGTTTTTTTTTCGCAAGGTTTCTCTCTGGTCACACAAGCTCCAGAGCTCCAAAGCTTCAAGCTTCAAGCCTCGCGCCTCGCGCCTCGCGTAATCTTTCTAGCTCATTGATCTCATTCTGGATTGCTCGCTGTGCCCATTTCCCACGAGCCCGGACGACTGAACTACGGGAAATACGCGCTACATAATTGACACATAATGAACCCACACTGCTTCTGCTCGGCCCAGCGCTCCCGGCCAGGAAGTTCATTTATGTATGTAACTAGTGGCGTGCCTCGGAGCCTCCTTGTTTTCGCCGCACCTCCACCTCTTGCTCTTATTTCCTCCCTGCTCTGCAACGATGGGCCCGCATACCCACCATACGACTACGCCGACCCAGCCACGCACAGAAACCCAACCGCGCGAAACGCATATCTCTGCCAAGGCCCTCACGACTCTCCCGGTACGCGTCTCGTCCTCCTTCTCGTACGCGCAGAGAACTAAAGTGACGGCAATCCTAGTTCCGTCTGTGTCACCCGCCGCCGCCGGTGGCCAAAACGAGCCGGACGTATGGTGGTGGGTACCCTCGCTTTGACCGCGGCTGATCGGGGCCAACTGAGCTGCCTACAGTTGCGCCGGCACTCCAAGTCTGCCTCGACGATGTGTTGGAGCGCAGACATCTGCCGCCATTGGGTGAGTGTCGGGTTTCTCCTCGTGTTGCGACGCGCGTGCTGAGGAATGATCAGGTCTGAAGGATTTCGAGGTACGAATGTTGATATCCGAACATCACACGACGACCAAAACCCCTCCCTCCCAGGAATGGCTCCTGTACTGTGAAGACTCCGTGGAGAACCTGTACTTCATCCTGTGGCTGAAAGAGTACACGATCAAGCATGCGAACTGGACGGCGGTGCGAACGGACATGGAGCGGGGCGCAAGCGACTACCACCATTGGCCGCTGCTCTCGTCCTCGCACCTGGCGCTTTTCTACGCACGAGCGAAACAGACGTTCTTCACGCCCAACGGGGCGTACGAGCTGCAGCTGCCGTCCGCCCTGCTCGCGCCGTTCCACGGCGTCAGCGCACCGGCGCACCCGGACCCAGCGTTGTTCGCGCCGCTGGCTGTGGAGATCCGACGACATCTTGACGCGAGTCTCGGGCGGTTTGTGCGGGCAGCATGCTCAAACGTGGGGAGCCGGCGGGCACGGTGCGGGATCGTTGCGGGCTGCACCTTCACGACTCTGCTCGGCGCAGCGCCGCTTGCATGCGCATTGGCCACGGGCGCGCCGCGCTGGGTACGCCTGAGCGCGTTTCCGGGGCTCTTCGTCGGGCTCGCGGTGCTTCTCGCGAGTCTCCATGGCGTGTGTGTTGGGGTGTATGTATTCGGGGATCTGCGGCAGTTGCGTGCGTTTGAGCTCACACGTCCGGCGATTTCGCGGCCGTGTGCGATAGAGGGACCCAGGGTGCAGCCGCCGGTGCAGGCGCATGTGCGCAGTGTCTCGGTAGGCACGTACGCGTCATCGTCGCTGTCGTCGCTGTCCGATGGCTCAGACGATACGGCGATCCATATTTCACCTGCATATATTGACCTGGATCCTGTTGAAGGTGCGTAGTGTAGTCCGTTGCCTTTCTGTGGTGTTTCCCTAAGACACTGATAGGCCCAGCAACGAGTCCATTGGAGACCGAACATGTGCCGAGCAAGCCATCCGACCCACTGACGACAACGACAGCGTCGTTCATTCACCCGTTCGACGAGTACCCAGCAGACGACCCCCAGTTCGGTGGACCGCCACGGATCTCAGCGCAGGACCGTCAGCATCTTGCTGCATTTGACTTCGACGCGCTGCCGGGTGCAAAAGCTTTGATTGGACGGATGCAGGCCAAATGTAGCCCCAGCCGGGTATCGGCCGTGCCCGCGTTCGCAGTACCGTTGACGCCAGTGCTAAGCTCGGTGATTGTTCGCGGGCAGTGGGAGATCGTGGTGCGGTCAGGACTAATTGCGTTCGTGCTGGCGATGATAATTTGCGGGGGACTAGTTGCTATATAATATTTTCTTGCTCACACAAAAGATGGGATCCCAAATGCGATGAATTGCCAGAAGAGAGGTATCGGTGAGAGTTGTTATAGCTACAGCATGGTTTCGTGTAAAAAGTAAAAATGATATGCACCAGCACTAAAGAAAATAACGGAGCACTCATGCCGTGATGGCGGCGTGGCAAGCGGTGTTCTGGGCGTCACAGTCAGAGACCTTGAACGTCGAGCTGCCCGAGTTGGCAAGGTTGGCACACTGGTTGTGCTGGACGTCGCAAGAGCGGCCGAGGGCACCAGCCTTGTTGATGAACTCGGAGTTGTCAACAACGAAGCCCTTGGATCCACCGACGGTCACAGGGGGAGCAGTAGCACCGCCGAGGGCACCGGTGAAGGTCTGGACGTTAGCACCGGTGGCAGCGGCAGCACCGTTGGAGGCAGCGGCAGCAGCGGTAGTAGCAGCAGGGGCAGCGGCAGCAGCGGCGGCGGTAGTGGCAGCAGCGGCGGCGGCAGTGGTGGCAGCAGCGGCAGCGGCGGGGGCGGCGGCAGCGACAGATCCACCGGTGGAGCCAGCGACGGCGTTGCCTTGGTCATCGACGGCGGTAACCTGGGCGAACTGGGACGAGGAACCGAAGGCTGCGTTCCAGGTGTCAGCGGCGATACCGAACTTGAGCTGAGCAGTGGTCAAAGCGGCAACGGCGGTCTTGGCGGAAGCGCAAGTGGCCTTGGCGGTGGCGTCAGCGCCGCACTTGTTGACGAGGTTGTCACACATGAACTGGGTGATGATTCCAACAGCCTGGGCGGATCCGTGGGCGTACGCGGTCTGGTCAACGGGCTCGAACGAGGTCTCCTTGCGGTTGTCGAAGCCAACACCGAATTTGATCAGAGGGAGAGGGCAAGATCCTGCCAAATAAGATCAGATTCAACTGAATGTGAAGAGATAAAAGTCCTCACCAAAGTTTCCGGCAGCGGTCGAGGTGGCAGTGTCAACGGGAATGGCGGCAACCAAGGCAGCGGTGGCCGCAGCACCGGCAGCAGCCGCGGGCGCTGCAGCGACGGCCACGTTTCCACCGGTGGAGCCAGCAATGGCGTTACCCTGGTTGTCGACGGCACCGGTGTTGCGGAAGTTGGAGCTGACACCGAAAGCACCGTTCCAGGTGTCGGCAGCAATACCGAACTTGAGGTCAGCGGCGGGCAAGGCAGAGACGGCGGTCTTAGCAGACGCGCAGGTGGCCTTAGCAGTCGCATCAGCGCCACACTTGTTGACCAAGTTGTCGCACATGAATTGTTCGATGATGCCGACGGCCTGGGCAGAGCCGTGAGCGTAGGCAGTCTGGTCCTGGGGCTCGAAGGAAGTCTCCTTGCGGTTGTCAAAGCCCACACCGAACTTGATCAGGGGCAGAGGGCAAGAGCCGAAGTTGCCGAACGAACCAGAGGTTCCGGTGGAGACCGCGAGCGCGGCGGTGGAGGCGGCGGTGGCATCGGTCGCCGCGGCGGCAGCAGCAGTGGGCTGGACGGTGACCGTCACAGTGCTCTGGGGAGGGCAAGTGTCGGTGGCACCGGCGGCGGCAGCAACGGTGGTGGCAGCAGCGGCAGCGGTGGTGGCCGCGGCAGCAGCAGCGCCAGTGGCAGCAGCAACACCGGCAACGGCAGCGCTGATCTCAGCGGCCGTGGCATCCTCGACAAGGAGGTTCTGCGTGAAGATGCAGCCGTTGGCGTCGTTGGCATCGTCACAGGAGTTGCCCTTGGCGGTTGGGTCACCGATCGTGCCGGCCTTGAATGTGCCGGACTTGAGGGCCTGCTGAGGGTCACCGCCGATCGAGGCGATCTGCTTGGCGAGCTCCAGGACGATCGCCTTGTTACCGGCGGCCGCGTTGGTGGACGCGGGGTCCTGGTGCTGCTGGACAGCGGCAATCTCAGGGTTGGTGGCCTTCAAGCTGGTGCAGGTCTTCGAGATAGCACCGACAGATCCACTGTTGCGCTCCAGGGCACGGTAGATGAGGGCATCAGTCATGCCCTGGATGTCGCCCTTGGCCTTTGCGTTGGTGAAGGCCTGGTCGGCGGTCGCCTGCTGGAGGCAAGTCACATCCTGTCTGCTGTCAGCTCATCGGCCCGGGCTTCATTATGAAATGACGTACAGCGATGTTACCCTTGCCGGCGCTGGCAGCAGCATCACCGAGGAGGGCAAAGACAGGGTCCTGGATCTTGTCCGGGTTGTTGAGGTTCAGGCTTGCACGAACCGACGTCAAGAAGGGCTCGTGAGAGTGCTCTGCGATTGCGTGTCAGCGATCGATCAGGCACGGCGAACGAGGAACGTGGCCACAAACCTTGGGGGACCTCGCGGCGGATGGGTGCGGCCAGCGAGGTGGAAGAGAGAAGGAGCGCGAGGAAGACAGACTTGACGGAGAGCATGGTAAAAAGCAATGCACAGCAGAGGAGTTTTGGTTGATAAAAGAAGGTGGGGCAAAGAAAGGATGGACGGCCTGCGACGAGAGTGTGAGCGAAGAGGAAGACGGAGGTAACGAGAACGCACAAAAACCAAGTTGAAATAACAACAAAAACCTGTCTTGACTGGCAAGGCAAAAGCACAAGAGGGAGTTGAAAACTGAGGATATCTTGGCCGGCCCCGAGGCTTATAAGGCCAGCCCGGCTAGGAACCGGGGGCAATAGAACAGCAATGACAGCGCCTCGCGACCATCACGTAACCACGGGAGATGATGAGGACCACGATGAGCTGGCCAGCCTGGCCGCAAGAGAATCGCAGCTTATGCGTATCTTGTACACGCTCTCGACGGCGATCTGTCATTTGTGCGAGCTCACTAATTCCGACGTCCATGTCCAGGTTGAAAGGGCTGACGCGTTGATTCGGTCAACGCGGGTCGCTTGGGCAGAAATTGAGATCAGATGCGGCACATGGATTCTGCCATTGCTTGTTGTCCTCATGTCGCTCACTTGTTATCGCACGTACGTACTGTCTCAAGCCTTGGTGAATGCGGCGCGCTCACACGCCCGAGTACTTTCCGCCTAAAATTGAGCGGCAATCATCCACGCCGTCCTAATTTCACCTCGACGGCTGCATTTACTCATACTCATTCAGGGACACGTGCCTGAGTCGTAGAAACATATCGTCCGAGGTCTCCTCTACACAGATAGACGTTTCACAAATTGGGTTGCCTTGACTCTCGGAGGCTAATTTCCATAAACCCATTTGAGTTCTGCCACTGTCCTGCCCATGCGATTGCCACGTTGGCCGCGAGTCGGGCAGTCAAATTTAATTTGCATCTTTGATTCTCTGCCAGGTTCTGCCAGGTTGATCATCTTCCCTAATAGGGCGTATTTGCTCCCCGCCAAAGCGAAGATTTCCGCCTTTTGATCTTAAATATGATGTCTGATAGCAGAAATTTGGGTGTGACACCGAAAGGGGAAAGAGTCGCTCAAGGAGCCACCCGAGCATCGTGTGTCGGGCGACGGGGGGCGGGGGAAGAGCTTATAGGAGTTGTTGCCACAGCCATTATTAGCTATCTATGAGATGCAAAGTGCGTTGTTTATGTGCGATATGGTCCTCCCCCCCCCCCCCCCGAGTATGCTTCCTGCTCAAAACCGCCCAACCCTTTTGCTTTCACAGCCAATCATTCTGCAGTCTGCGTCTTGTTGCAGGTCAGAATAGGCGCCATTTTGTTCTATTGGGTTTAGCTAGGTGATACGAGCTACTCCGCAAGCCTCTGCGAGGGCATGAAAGCCAGTGAGCACACTGGCGCACAAAGCTGGGCGCGCGCGAAAAGCAGGAGTCACATCAAAAGTCACATCTGTCCAATTCTCGGTTAAATTTGATCTGTGATAGCAGAAATTTGAGAAGCCTTGCAAATACGCCCTAATAGCGACGGTGTGTTTTGTTTCCAACATGCAAATGAGACGATCATGGAGTGACGATGGAGGATCAGTGGCCGGTATCACCGCTGGCGCGGAGGTCAGTCGGAAAAACCGTAAATATCCCAGACCATCATGTTTCATTTTACGAGAGAGATCTCGGTGAAGCCCGTACGATGCCGGGTGAGATGCGCGGGATCCGGGAGCGAAAGGTGATACAAAACGCAACGAGTCGGGACTTCCTTCGACATGAAATGAAGTTGGTCAGCTGCAGAATCGTGTGCCAAGGACGACGACCGCAGCAGGTGTTGAAAGTACTGCGATCGGTCTTGGTCGTTGCGGCGTGGCATTGGTAACCCCACGGGCTTGCTTGCGACTGGCAGTCAACGACATGATTGATAGATATATCCAAGAAAAGCACATCAGTCTCTGGCAAAAACCGCCTCATAAGTGATTGCCGTTCTGACAGGATTCACGTTCCGGGGAAGATGCATACATCAGCACCCATGCAACGTGGATGAGAATTTCGCCGGTGCTGCAACCGGGAGCAAAGCAGGCATACACGAAGACATCTCGTACACACGATCACCAGTCCTCTGATGAACGCGCCAGAGAGTAGAGAACAGTCCATTGGGCCCGGACCAGGGAACTGCCGTTGCCTGTTATTAGACCAACAAAGATCTTGAGAATCCGTCTGGGAGCATTTAGCTCAGACGCCGGAGTTGATGGCAGCAGCCGTGCAATGATGAACGACAGATCGCACGCAAGAAGACAATCTATGAATTGCACACAGTCCAAACAGATCATATCCGGACAGAAGTGGTATCTTTTTTAGACAAGGCGTGCACATCTTGTTCTGCCGGGAGCATGTTAGAAGCAGACAGAACAGCAGAACGACCAACTTACGAATCCCCCAAACATTCGCGCGCAGACCCAGATACTCTGCGTTAGCGTTAACAACAGTTGCTGAAACGCATGAAGAGCTCAAGTTTCGGCTCACCAACGTTCAGTCCGTCGTAGAGTTTCTTCATCTCTCCTCGCAGACTCGACAGGTTTTCTTTGGACGCCGTGGTATCGGCAAGCGCCTTGAGATCCTTTTCTACTGCTTCAATTCTGCGCACGTGAGCAGTAATCTATGTCTGTCGTTAGATAATTCAAATGCCAACCGACAGCAGAAGGCGAGACCTTCTCCGTGCTCAGCTTGAGCTCATCGACGCTCGCCTGGAGAGCCGCAGAGGCCATGTTATACTCGTCCAGCAGGTTATATGCTGCAAGAGATGCCGCTAGAGAGAACCCGGCCAAGAACCCGACGATGCTGCCCCGGACGGCGCCGATGGGCTTCTTCTGACGAATTGGCGCACCGACATTCGGGGCGGCCTCTTCTCTGAGCACACGAGACGTAGTCAAAGTACGAGTGCCAGTCTTTTGAGAGGCGAAAGCGGGTGACCGTCGCAGACAGCTCCGCAACGTCGATGAGCGCAGTGAGGAAGACATTGATGGCAGTGATCGAGGGCACGTACACGTGACTGTCGAATCCTTTGATCCATCACCGCGACCATGTCAGGAAATCTTAAGCGCAAAGAGTCCACGACTGGAGAACAAACTGGACGGGAAAAGAAGAAGCAGAAGCTCCAAGAGGCTCGCACGATTGGTATTCAAAGCTCAGGGCCTGGATTGACTGTCGGAAGTGGTGAGCTCGACTGGCCGACATGTGTCATGCGAATGGACGATTGTCAGGTCAGAGGTTACGGGGTGCTATCGATGTCGAGAGATTCAGCGAAACTCGGCGTTTTGAAATCAATGCCATGCATGCAGCCATGAAATCAGCCAGGTCAATAACGAATCTAATCTCGTGTGCGGCATGCATCTTGAACTTTGGGGCACAGCGCCAGCTCCACGCAACGCGTTTGGCAGTCCCTTCCGCGGCACCTCCGCCGCAGAGCGGCTAGCCATGATGTGCGACGCGTTCCGCTGCGTTTGAGAGATCGCGCGAAGCAGGAGGTACTTCGCTCCTTCTCGCGATCGCACGAAGTTCTTAGTCTGCTCTAGATGAATGCAATCAAGAAGAAGTTACCTGCACGACTAGTGAAGAAACAGGGTAAAAATAAAAGGCTCGGTCGCACGGAGTCTTTTCTGAAACGGCAAAGTACTGCCTTCCGCCTGCTCAAGGCGGGTTGCTAATCTATCGGCAGGAAACAAATCTTGGCTAGAAACCCACATATGGCACTCAAAGCGGATGCACATGGAGGATCACTGGGGTTACCGCCTTGTTAGGGAGATATGCATGAGTTGGCCTTTGCTAAGGCTCTGACAGGCAATTACTCCGACTGAGAAGGCATTTCGGCCATCTCACAGGGCTGCTGTTCATGGATCCATCCTCCACGACGCCTCCTACCAGTCGATTGTCCAGCTTCAAGGCCCTGAAAACATCCTTCGCGACATTTTGGACGGTGTTTCTGACTTGCAGGGGGCAGGGCCAGGCGCGAAACGGTTCGTCACCTGATCTATGTATGTACCTACACACGAATGACAAATTTCTAGATATCTTCCCGGGCACGGTCAATCGACACGCACCTATACGAACCCGGCCGCTACCCTTTCGGTCTCATTGGACCCATCTCGCTTCTGTGGAGGCCTGTTGGCAGTGACAGCGATAGCGTGAAGCGGATGGTCTGGGTGCGGGCTCACCCGTCCATCTCAGACCGGGTGTTCGAAGCTCTGCGTACTTCCGCGTCCCTTGTTTTGGACCAAAAGCGGAAGTTGGCGGAACCGGGAACCCAGCTTGATCAGCTCGGTGTTGAGTTGGAAGATCTGAAGGGTCAACTGAATGCATTCGAGATTATGGGTCCTAAAGCAAATCAGATATTGAAGGGCGCTTTGACACCGATATCCCAAGATTCGAGAGAAGAGTTCAAGAAGGCTTGTTTAATGACAACCTCGTCAACTGAAAGCTAACCCGCAGCCTAGTTCTGGGCCACATTGGCGGATCTCCAGACCTCTGGATCCATCCCTCGCGGTATGGTCATCGGCTTTACAGTCATCGACCCACGGCTGAAGTAAGCGTGCTTCAATCCCGCCAAGTGCTATCTCCCCGACACTTGTTGTAGATTCCCACCCAGCAACGCAAAGCCGCAGACAATGACTGTGTCGCCGAGAATCATTCCCTCTGCCACGCTCGCCCAGAGTGAGCTGTGGGACGAAGCGCGTCGCAACGGGCTTCGGAAACCGCGGTACAAGAAGCAAGACATCGACGAGCGAAGATCGAAGAACTTGATTCCTGGGACGCCCTTGTCCGCTCTGCGCCAGGATGACCGGGTGCCGGTTCTCCTGGTTCAGCGGTCAACAGAGTGCAGTGGGACGAGCGACCGAGGTCTTCATGGATGGACGCTATTCCTGCCAGCCGGCTGGGGCATGCCTTTCTTCTCGTCTCTCACGTTCACCGGAACACGTGTCGCCGGCCAACGCGAGCGCGCTGCCCAAGCGTTCGAGGCAGGATCTGCCTATTTTCCGCGTGACTATCCCACGTGCCTTAGTTACACGGCGCATGTGACCGAGCGTGAATCAACCGAGCGCGCAAGGTGGGAGAGGACGCCACCTGCTAAACGCCCGAACTTCGAAAAACTGGGAACGCGTAGTCCCTGGCGTGCTGACTGGGAGGTCGTTTTGGGTGCAGACCCGGATCTAGTTTCCACTCAGCGCGAGCCAGGCGAGGAGACTTGGGAGCCTTGGCTTCTCCGTGGATCGGGTGTGCGGGCGCTGCTCGACAAGCTCATTGCAGACCCCGGTGTTTTCAGTGCTGAGCTCAATGCTTTACGAACCAAACGGCATTTTGCCCCATTGCAGCAATCATCAACGTTACTAGCATCGAGTGCGTTGTTGCGCGTCAAAATCAATCCCATCAAAGAGGGGAATCCGCAGGATCTGGCTTTGATCTACGCCATTCCCAGCGATGAAGGAGAACTACCCTCCGAAATCATCGGTTATGTGACATCCGGGAACTTTTCGCTGTCTCAAGGGACTGGCTTTGCCATCGGGGCTGTCAGTCTCACTAGCTACCTCACGCTCGCCACCAAGAACCTGCCCTCGGAGCGCACCAAGAGCACGCTCACCAAGAACCCACTCTTCGTCAAATATCGAGACCGTGATGGTCATGTTTTTCGGGCAGCAGAAATCCAAGTGCTTGATACTTAGAATATTGTAGAGCTAATTATCCGGGGTATACTGCTAATGCTTTTGACTGTGTTCTTTTTTCCACCACTGCGAATACGATTCAGTACAAATACCATTGGTGGAATCAGATATCGCACCTCGAGCATCAGTTTCACGCCTTCGTCAAGGCTGACCTTGGGCTCGTAACCCAGTACTCTACGCGCCTTTTCGATGTTGTACCAGCGATTGGCGCAGCTGTACGACACCCGGAACTTGTTGAAGGTCGCATCACGCCCTGTCAACCAGGCCCACCACTCTGCGCCGCCGGCAGCAACCATCGCAAATTCTCGCGGCAAGGTCCACGTGCCCTTCTTACGCGACTTGGCAATCTCCGGATACTCCTGATCCAGGTGGTGCCAGATGTACCGCAAAAAGTCCCAGAAATGACACGGCTCGCCATTGGTGATGAAGAAGGCCTGGCCGGCAACCTGCAGCGGTGACGTCTCCGGGTGCATCAGCTTCGTTCGCGCGATGGTGTACTCGGAAAGAGGGTCGAATCGTGTTCGCACGGCAGGCACCTTGGCGTCTGTTTCTGCCTCAAATGCAGCAACGAGAGCGTCGGCATTCGGAGGTCGGTACACGCCAGGGCCCAGAGGTCGTGCATCGGAAGTAGGCACCCGATACTTTCCAGTGGTCCCACTGATCGAAGGGAGGGCATATTTGACCAGGTTCTGTTCCTCCTCCGTCAACGGGGGTACTTCCTCGGGTATCCGTGGCATGGTAGGGAGCTCAGATAGCGTCGGTGCAGGTGGCGGATCAGACAGTCGATCGGCGGCAAGGAGGTGGGCGGAGGCCACGTTTCCGACGTAGGTCCAGTCGAACAGGTTGGTGTTGTCCCCGACTTGGAAGTGAGTCTGGCGCTTCTCGTACACCATGAAAATGCCAGCCATGACTTGACGATCCCCTGGACTGCACAAACTTGAGTTCCTCACCCAGCAAGTGAACGCTGCAAGAGAACGCACCCGAAGATTCCTGCTGGCCGAAGAGCCACTGTCAGCAGACCTCCTTTTCCGTTCGCCTCAAGGACAGCCTGCTCTGCCTCTGCCTTGGACTGGGAGTAGGCATCCTTGTGTTTCTCGGGATATGTTACACGCTCATCCATGTCGATAATGTCTTGCCCGCTATAAACGACGCCGGCAGAGCTAGTGAACACCAGTTTCCGAACGCCCGTCTCGACAGCGGCAGCAATGATGGCCTTCGTTCCACCGACATTCACTCGAAAGTACAGATCGGCATCCTCGACTTTCATTGCGACTGGCGGCGAGGCAGTGTGGATGATGCATGTCGTGCCGGAAGTCTTCAGAGCAGCCGCGACCTGGGCCTGATTTGTGATGTCTGCAGAGTAAAAGGGGACGTCGTGATAGCGTTGGACAAGATCAAGAGCGGACACCGTGTCCCCTCTGTCTCTTAGCTGTTGCACAATATGTCTTCCCAGAAATCCGCTCCCGCCTATGACCATATAGATATCTGGCATCGCAACTGTTTGAAAGGAAGATGTCGGAGAAAAGAAGAGAGGGGATTGGAGATGGTGCGTGTGGTGAGAATGGACGGGACCAGAAAAAGGTGTCGTCCCATTCCGGAGCTTTTCCCCATACAGATTTGACATAGCATCGCGTGTCACGCGCGTGCTCTCCACGTGATGTCGTTTAACGCGGGTGCTCCAGATCCATCTCATTGACACAGACCATCATGTTCAATGCAGGCGAGAAGGAACATCTCCTCAAGAATCTCGATATCGAGGTCACCTACAGAAGACAGCAGCTGAAGGATTGGCTCCGCGATCATCTCGAAAACTTTACCATCCACCAGGAGGGGCTAGTGTCGCGTATTCCGAAGCAGGTCCGAGGCATGAAGATGCGAGAGTTTGGGAACAAGTACCATGGAAATATCCAGGCCGCACTCCGCGGAGCTCAGCGGGAGAAACTCTCTACGGTGGCCACCGAAATCGATAAATCTACGCGGAAGAGGAAATGGGTGGAGAGTCAAGGCCAAGACGAAGCTTCAGCTGAGAAAGTCGTGAAGAATGGCGCGTTCCATTCCGTTGCTAGATTCATTGACTCTTACACTTATCTAGCGCGTCTTGCATCTCCGGACAAGAAGGCGGGGCCTTCCACTGGGGTGGGAGCTGCTCAGCGTGCTCGCATGCAAGCAGCGGCGGGGTCTAAACCCTCTGGAATGGTGCGCTCACTCTTCAACTTCTCAACTAGCACCTATCGATGGCATATCAGATGCGCGCATTTGGTTCCCCCGTTCCTAGCCCTCAGAAAGCAAGGGCACCGTTCACCTCTGGCGGACAGAACGCCCCCCGTTCTCCATCGAAGCTCAAACAGACGCATGTGCCGGCAACCCAGTCGAACAACTCGCGCACACGTGTTCCATCCGTCTCCTCGTTCAACCCAGCCATTCCCAAGACGACAGCCTACCCTAGTGGCACGGCGCGTCTTCCGCGCAAGCACGAAAGCATGCTGAGTGTAAACGGTTCCCCCATCGCCAATCCGTTCGACCTCTCTGGCGATGAGACGAATGAGACGCATAAACGCAGCAGGAGTATTATTAGCGTGCAACGAGACCCGTCCTTCGCCGGCAGCTCGGGAACATCGCACTCGAGGACGGTGTCGATGTACAGCTCGACCTCGTCGTCTCAGGAGGGCGGCTCCACGTTATATCCTACCGCGCATCCTGCACGCCCAAATCCTCATCAAGCACAAGCCAGACTGCAGGAGTTCCGTTTCCCCCCAATGGCATCGCAGGCATCTCAACCCCTGGATCCAACGACGCCTCGACTGAAACACAGCCGCTCGGTCTCCACTCTTCCCATCATGCTTTCGACCACGGATGGACACCTGCTGGAGTTTGATGCGCTACAAACGTCTCCTGGGGCTATCGATGCACTGCCTGGAATCAGCGACAGCGCGAAGAAGAATGCGAGGGAAGAAATCAGCATGCTTGTTCGCGCTGCGGTAGATAAGTGGTCGATATGATGTGTATTCGCTCCGCAAGGAGGTTCTGTACCAACTGCATTCACCCTGTTCACGGTGGGCAGCCCGACTTGTCGACCTGAACGTTGCGGATCTGTCGGGCCGAAAGCGAGTTTTATGGCTTTTCTGTGTTCCCTCACTCTACACTTGAGCTAGCAACTTCTCACTATCAACAGTCTCGCAACTTGCTTTGCGCCGGCCAATGCGCCATCACCTGCTCTCGCGCTGAAGCACGAATCACATACAAGATTGGTTTCCGATCACTGCTGTCCGTTCACGCATTGGTTCCCGCTGGTGGTGGAAAACCGTATCAACCCTTGTTCTCAATCAGCTAACACTCCTCTGAACGGCGCATATCTTGGCTGCCTTTCTGGCCGAAATGTCAGACCCTTTTTCCCTGGTTCTGACCCGCATAGCTTCCGCCAGCGAGCCCTCTTTGGTGAATTCGATTGTAAGGAATGCTGTTTTCGATCGTGCTACAAACAATCGCTCATTTGTAACAGTGTCCGGGTCCAGTCCCTATCACTGCTCTCGGAATTCTGCACGTCTTTCGACCGAGCAGATTTTGAACCTGGAGAAGAGCACCCCGACTGGGTTTCCGGGTCCTATTGGGGCCGCTGAGCGTGACAGTGCTAAGCCCGGTACTCCCCGGCGCCGTATGCGTTTAACTATTAGCATTTGCGCGCCAATGGTCCCGGTGGCCTTCACGTTGGATATGCACTGTAGGGCATAACCAAATTTTTACATAAAAGGGATAGTCTCAGAGCCTCCGAGGTGAGCGGCGTCCCCAGGCTCTTCGAATATCCAGCGAGGCGAGTTGGAGAAGTGCATGAGTCACGGGAGGGCGCGTCTAGAACCACCCTGGATTGCGTCTGTCGCAACTGTGAGGCAAGTTGCACACTCGGAAAGATGTCCGAACCGAGAAACCGTCGCTTTGTGTGTCGCATGCGGTCGCATGACCACTGACACCGTAGCTACGGTATCAACGTTGTATCAACGTATCAGTCGTATTGTCTGTTGTTTTACTGTGACAACGTCGTGACCTCTATCGGCTTTTCCTCTCCCTCTCGTCGCCGTCCGTTCGTCGAGCCCGACGCCCACGTTCTTTCCCTTCGAAGCAGCAGCAGCCGAAAAGACATCTTATTCAGCAACTTTAATTTGCAGAATAGTCCCAGTCTGCGCACTCACTTGGGGCTGTTCATCTTCCCAACACCCACTTCGTACATAACTCCACTATGGGCCTCGAACACATCCACATCGGCCGTCCTGGTGCTCCCTACCACCCGGCGAAGCCGCTCACTCCCAAGGTCAAGCGGGACAGCACTACTCCTGATCCCAGTGCGTCCTGCTTATGTCCGCTGCTGACCATCAGTATCAATACTTCCAGGTTGTGCGACCGGCGCGTTCTACACGTCTCCCACTCTAGGAGCTACCGTGGACGCTATGTCTCCCCTCAACATCGTCTGGAACACTGGATTAGATTGCTTGCAGCCGGCTCCCTCCTCTGTGGACATCTACCTCTATGCCCCAGGATCTGCAACCTCCCGCATGCACATGTGGCAGGGCGTGTCTTACGCTTCCGGCAACTATTCTGCGACTCTCATGCCTCGCTGGTGGAACTCGACCTCGAGCGCCACTTTGCAGCTCATGATCGTATCCTCAGGCACACCTCCTTTCCTGAGCACCTTGCCTTCCGGCCCTGTCATCCAAGCGACGTACACTCCCTCCTCGAACGGCACGACCCCTGACGCCGCCAACACCGCGGTGCATGGATCGCCCACAACCATTGTTGGCGCCGTCGCCGGCGCCGTCTCTGGTGTTAGCTCTCACACCCTCTCTCCCGGCAAGAAGGCGGCCGCGGTCATCTTGCCGCTTCTGTTCTGCATGCTCATTGGTGCGACGTATCTGAAGCTGTCTCGTGCTCGCGGTAAGGCCAAGCGGGCCGAGTGGTCGGAGAAGATCGACAAACGGATGTCCACCATCTCGACGGACTGGAAGAGCATTACTGCGGGGGGCGCCAAAGAGGCTGTCCGGCATTCTATCGCAATTGGCCGCAACTCGTCTGCGTTCAGTGTCGGATCCGTTCGGCCGAGCAACGTCGAAGGCGAACCCGTGTTCATGGGCGAGCAGCCTGTGGGCCGAGGAAGCATTGACATCGACGAGAAGGACACCCCTCGGACTTCGCTGGGAAGTGGGATCGGTGTTGGTGTTGGAGCCCGTCGCCCGAAGACAAGTGGTGCTCCCCCCGATCGAGGCTCGCGGGCCGTTTCCTTTGCGGAAACGGCGCCGCCGCGTCCTTCTATCTCATCCAACGGACCTCGGACCTCGGCCTACTCGCGCACTTCGCGTGCTTTCCACACGGCGTCAACCTACGCGGACTGGGAGAATGAAGGTGACGGAATGGCGCCCCCGGTTCCGGCTTTGCCGACACCCCCGTCTCCGTCAATGGCTGGTGTATATGGTTCTCCTGCTCCTCGGCCCAGTGTGGACAGCTCTCGTAGCGTTGGCTCTGGTCGTCGCACCGGGAACTCGCTGCGGGGGAGCAATTACAGCGCGAACCGCACGACTGGCTTTTACTCCAACTCTTCTCACGATGATCCTACGCCTGCTCTGCCTGCCAACACTGTCTTCAGCAACCCTGGTGCTTGGACCAGCGGCGAACGTGTTCCCGCACCCGTATTTGATGGACAGGTTTCTCCGACCGGCCGAGTGCACAATGTGAACTATCCGAGCACCCTCGGCCTCAACTCGTATGAACAAGCGTATGGTGACGAGCAGAACAGCTACTTCAGTCCCGCGACCCCGACTCCTCAAAGCGGGTTCGTTGTCGAGCCTACTGCTGACAGTGCCTATGGATCGACCACTTACGGCGAATTTTCCTCTCCGGACATGACGACCAGTCCCAGACAGACTGCCGGCCCACTTACTCTTACCCCCGATGATATCCGCCGTCGTATGACTCTGCGCAATGCTGAGCAAGGCCAATGGCGCCAGAGCGTCGAAGAGGTGTTTGGTGCTCTTAGCAGTGAGTCTCCTTGGCCCATTCTTCCGTTTGTCTAATCTGCTTCAGTGATGCGCACGGGCGAAAACGGGGAAGATGAGGCTGGAGAATATCTCTTTGCGCCGGAGACGGTCTTTGCTTATCCTGGAACGCCTGCTCCTGCCAGCGGCTTCAATGGTGCGTTGATCATGTTGCTCTGATGGTCGAATCTGACACAATTTGGATTGCCAGGCCCGTCTCCGTCGCCTGCTCCGTCCTCGCCATTTGCTATGCCGATGTCCACCGCCGCCGCCACTGGCTCTCCGGATGAAATGCTGCGCGCCTATGCTGCCAAGAAAGCCGCTGCCGCTGCTGCGTCTTCGCGATTGTCGAACTCGACGGCCGGTGTCGAAGTGGTCGACTCGCTGCACTCGAGCGGCATGCGTGTGCTGTACAAACAAGCCGATGGCTCAGATGCAGCCAGCACGTCGAGTGGCTCGACCGGAATGATCCGTGCCGGCCCGGGTGCCCGCTTGAGCCGTTAAGTCTGTGAGAGCCCGCTCAGGCTGGCTCTGGCGGGACCTGTAACATCACCGCCAGGGGACAGTGATACCCTTTGTCAATTGTTTAGCTAGCTATACTCTCTATCTTGGTCCACATCCTCTTTCTATACATACCCAACTTGATCTGCACTATTATCGTACATGTCAACAAAGTCTGCAAACACTTTTATTCTGTCAGCGATGGGACCCAGTCGGCGGAGAGTGTGTCTGTAAATTCTTGTTTGTGCAGAATTATCGTAGCTTTGAAATGACACCTACTTCGTCGTCTGACCACCAACGGTCAACTTGGCGCATTCCTGGTCAACGTCCACTTCCAGCACCGCTCCATCGAAGAACATGATTTTGTACTTGGATTTCTGGCGCAAACACCAGCCCACTCCTGCACGAAATCTGGTCTCACTGCTTGCCTCCTCGCACCACGTGACAGACGAATGGATCCCCTCTACGCTAGCCAGATCGCATTCGACAGAGGTCGCGAATTTCGGCGGACGCGGGCTGATGTGGATTTGCGGAAAACTAGAGGCGGTGCAACTTGAATTCGGGGGTGGAGCTGCGGGGCTCTCCAGAAAGCGGCACAGACTCAAGAAGCGTTCCAGTTCGTCGACAGCGGCTTGCTCGTTTGCGCCTAGAGCTTCACATTCCGCCGGTAGAATACACGGAGCACCATTGATGTCGGGGATCTTGAGCACTTTCTTGGTCCATTCTTCACCGCCATCTTCCGAGATGCGATGCGTCGCGATCTCAGCCGACGCGTCTTGTCTGGAGACTCGCATGCGCAGCTTCGGCGGCCCTGTGGCCGGGAGCAAGAGTTCGATGTCTGCTTGAGGATCGTTGGCCATCAGAACGCATTTGGCAGCGTCAGTGTGCAAGGTCAGCTGAACAACAACTTGAACGAATGTAGCAAGTGAGCTGAGCGAACCATATCCACCCGGGACGTCCGCTGTTTGATGCGCTGTACCAGGATCGCAGCGTCGTTGTATGTCTTCCAGTAGCACGTCGGGAGCGTTTCCAGCGTGTGCTTCCTGCTCGGTTCGGCTAGACAGCACGGAGCACTCAGGTGCGGTGCCGCGTAGATCTCGATCTGCCACGAAGCAAGTCTACTGGTTGCATTGAGCAACAGAGGTTGAAAAAAGCACACACCCGTGTCCCGCTCGGATCGACAAGCATGACCTCAACGCCTTTTTGTCCCCGCCGCCTCTCTCCGACACGTAAATCAACCAGTAGCGAGCGCGAAGCGAGTACAGTCAGAGTTCCTTGAACAGTCTTGTGCGACTCCGTCGACATCAGAGCGGTCGTGAACGGCTTTGGCCGTGTCGTCCCAACAGGTAGACTATCACCAGTCTGCTCGAGTTAATCGGCAAAGCAAGCAAGATTCAGACGAGCAAAGACCTCAGCGAGACTTCTCTTCACTTCCACTTGAGGTTGATTGCTTTCCTTCAGCGGCGCCTTTGCAGAAAGCCAAGCGGGGTACTTTTGCTGTCCCCGAGATATCGTCGGATGCGGATCAGAAACGATTCTTCTAGATATGCCGGCACCCGTGTAGAGAAACTTGGCTCCATCCGACAGCTTGCTTGGTCCAGAGAAGTGACGTGGTTGAAGAGATTGTTGTTTACCGACAGAGATAGCAGGGGGCTTGTTCGCAGCGCTCGTTTCAAATAAAGCGTGTTTGCTGATGAGACTATTTGCAGTTGCCAAGAACCGCAAGAGCTTGACGGGAAGTTCTATGTCCAGAAACGAGTGGAGTATCAAATCAGAGATGTGAAACCGTCGTCTTGGGTTCTGAAACAGTGTCAGTGCGGGTGCGTCAAATCAAGATTGCGGAAAGACAACAGTTTGAAGTGTCTCGTTCAACAAATCACGAATCACAGGGGAAGCAGTCCTTGGAAGATCGTAAGAACCTTGGAGAATCAGATCAACGCTAGAGGCATATGATATGCCCTGGGACGTCTCAGTTCGACTTTGATTTCGAGACAGCGTAGACCGACTTTAAATGGCGGTTGGCATGTCATGCAAGTCAATATAACACAACCCAAAGACCAAACATCTACTTCGCAGGAGTGGGGCATGTTTGATAAGATTTCTCTGTGATGAACCATCAGTCGAAGAGAAGGCAGGCAAACGGAGCCGTACGGTGCAGTGAAGTACGGGATTTTGATGCGCATATTTTGATTATCTTCATCTGGGGGCGACCGACACGCGAATTGGAGCCCAGACAGTTTCTGGACAGCTCAAGCATGGAGACCAGACTTTCAAGGCGAGCACGTACCACACGACCTTCCGAAGTCAGCAGGATCTTCGAGGGGCTTATGTTCCGGTGCACGATGCCTTGTTTGTGGAGATACACCAACCCATCGGCCAGGCTTTTCACCACCCCGCGCAACTCATCTTCCGCAAGCGGCCCTCGCTGCAGGTACTTCTCAAGACTGCCTGCAGCGCATAGTTCGAGCACGAAAAATAACGCGTCGGGAGTGGAGAAGGTCGAGAAGAGCGACACGAGACTGGGATGATAGAGTGAGAGGTGGAGTTGTGCCGATGCAGCGGAAAGGGTATGTTCTTTTGCATCATTGGAGACCTGGATAATCCGGTTTAGATTCGTGGCCGTAAGGGTATATAGTATTACGTGCCTTCTTCAACGCGAGCTGTCGATTCCTCAGTCGCCCTCGGTTGCAGTTGACGAGATGTACGGTGGATTGGTAGCCTTCGCAGATGACCTCCATGATGTCGTAGTTCTATTGAATGATATGAGGAGACATGAAATTCTGGAGACACAGAATAGAACCTGTAATTCAGAAACCTCCCGATTGCTGGAGTAGGACATTGTTCAAGCAGTAACGCGGTCACGTGGAAGCAAGCGTCATTAAAGTCCAATTGAGTTCTATGCTAGACTGTCCGGGTGGGCATAGATAATGTAACATTAAAATCGTAATCATCAAACAGCAATTGATGTTGCGCGTGAACTGAAACCCTCATAAAACCGTGAGGAGTGCATTGGAAACTTGGAACGGGGGGGAGGCCGGGGCATCTGCCTGGCGCGACGACTGGCCACCTTCTCTTTCTTGGGGTCCTTGCCATGGCTGGGATTCTCTTGCAAATGTGATTTTGCACTTGGAGTATCCACAGGCGCATCAGCTTTGACGCTCATCCGTTCAGCGGCCGGCCGTGACCGATTGGGGCTTGCCTCCGTTTCCGTGAGGCGGGAGGCAGGGACCTCTGTACGGGTCTCTTGTGCTGTTGTTTGATCGGCTGCCGGCCTCGCATCGGAAACTCTTCTTCGGAGCTCTCGTTCTCGTTCTCGTTCTCGTTCTCGTCCACCTTCTGGACTTGGGACGGTTCCAGGTGCGGCCGGCGCAGACGTCGTCGATTCGTTGGTCCTGCGCTTCTGGAGCTTTCGCGGAGTTCGTTTCTGGATGTCGATGTTGGCGTTATTCTCTGGCCAGCCTCTCTCCAGTCGAATGACGATATCGTCGCCGATCGCTTTGGGCTGTGCGGTATTTTTGTCAGTGCAATGTCGGCCTCCTCCTCGGCACTTACCGCGTGATCCAGCGCGCCAGAGTGCTCAAGATGCCTCGTCTGGGGTCCAATTCCAGTGGAACGTATTGGATAGTGGGCGAAAAGACGGAGCCATCGTGGTCCGCCGGTGTTCTATTGATCGCTCTCAGCTGGTGTTCGATGTATGCGGTGGCAGTTTGGCTCACTGCGTACTGCTTCCGCCGAGGCTGCTGGGACTGGGGCTGTGGTTGCGGAGAGGAGCTCGTCTGCCACTGCGCTTCCCCTAGCATCTGGTGCTGCCGTTTCCAATACTCCTCCAGACGCTGCTGAGTCAGAGCAGCCTCGGCACCTGGCGCTGCACTCGGCCTGTGGCTGCGAGGATTGGGGTATTCTTCGACATAATCCCAATCACTTTCTCGTGGCCGTGTCTCTGTCTTGGCAGGTCGAGACGGCGGGCGTCTAGCTCGTAGCTCTGCAGCCCTCTTCTCCAGTTCCATAGCCTGTTGTTTCCTGACTTCCTTGACGATCATGTCCTTCCACTCTCTTTCCTTCTTTCGCGCAAGATCCTGCATGCGGCGTTCAAATTCATCCTGCGATGCCTCTCGCTGAGACGGATTGATAGTTGCCAGAGTCCGCTGGAAGCGAATCGCAGCCTCGCAGGCTTCAACGTAATATTCCCGAATCTTTTCTTCGCTCTTCTGCAGTGCGAGCGATTCAAGATGTGATGCAGCGACAGCATCTAGGTCGCCGCCCTGAAGTATGGCGCCGACAAAGTACAGCGGCATGCGAGGTGGTTCAACTGACTTGAGCGAGCGAGGAATCGTATGGGGGGTAGTCTGTACACCTGAAGGTCCTGCTGCCTTGGAAAGTTCAGCTGCCCAATTCGCGTATGCGGGCGCGGCGGACTCCGTGGTCTGTGCAAAGGATCAGATGCATTTCAGGATAGAGGCTCTGTTCCCTCACCCTGGCCGCAAAACCCCTCGTGTCCTCCGAAACCTTTTCTCTTGCCTCCTTCATGCCTAGCGTGTTCGGATTGACTCGCTGATATTTCGATCCAACCTCTCTTCCATAGGCCTCCATCATCTCTGACTGTGTCCAGCCTAAACTCTGCTTCACCACTGCTTTCTCGTCGGGAGTCATAACCCAGTGCTCCATGTGCAGCTCACTGCGAGCGACGCGCGCCAACCATTCCTTGCGCGCCTTCTCAACAAATTCCTGGTGTAATGCCGCAAGCTCCTCCTTCTCTCCCAGCCGAGCCTTCCCCCGTTTGCGTTGGGATACGAGGAGAACATGGTGTTCGCGCTGCTTCAACCTCAGTCGCTCTTCAGCCAGCCATGCCTGGAAAGATGCCCATTCGATACGAATGGCCTGGTGGATCTTGACTGAAGTCCCTGTCGAGTATGAAGCCTGCATCCAGTCGCTGGGATTGAGAGAGAGCGAAGTGGTGCGATACTGGAGGGACAGCAATTCGCAGTCGTGGACAAGATATAACGCGCCGCAGCTATTGGCTCGGGGCCCACACCGGGGAACCAAGTTTGGGGGAACTCGTCCCGATAGGGCCGGTCAAGAGATTTAGGAAAGGACGAAATCACACGTTGCCTCGTGTTTTTGACGCGCAATGATCTGGTTGCACCCTGAGCCCTTGTGGCTCGCTCAACCGAACAGATTCGCACACGCAAAGTCCGCCAGCGCCCACAACCCAAGGCTAACGCGTGTGTGCGCATTCCATCGTACGTATCGTGAAGTCATCGAAGGGTTGCGGAAAAACGTCGGCTCAGAGCTAATTGGGGGTGAGAAATGTGGACTTTGGACCTTTCTGTCTTAGTTTATATGTAGTCAGGCATCTGGTCCTTCCGAGAGACGGTTATCGATGTCAGCCAACGTCCGGAGAAACACATTGGAAGGAAGGAAAGATTGCACTTCTAAGTGCATTTACGTGTACCGTGTGGGGAGCTTCACACGATTGTCACCCGATTGACAATGATGCTATTCTGATCTGGGATACTCGAGTATGTGTAATCTAGAATGACATGCCCTCGGAATTGTCCCTTGTGCTCCTCCTCCGTCTGCCCTCCGCAAAACGGCGAGCGGCCGAGTCGGCTTGTATATAAAGAGCGTCCCAAATAGCTATGTTCGAAGCCGAATCCGCATTATGACATCTACCGCGCCAGATCTCGAGAAGAGTGGGAGCGTACAATCGTCCGGAACTCCAAAACCAGTTCAGGCCCACCCTGTCGAAGAGCCATTCAGCGTTTTCACTGTGCGAGAGAAATGGTTCATCGTAGCTCTAAGCGCATTCGGGGCGTTCTTCAGGCGCGGTTCCTCGTCCTGTTATGTCTCCTCAAGGCTCACAAAACGTCTCTGCAGTCCGCTGGCAGCAAACATCTACTTCCCCGCCATTCCTACGATAGCGTCTGCTTTCAACAAATCTATCGAGCTGATCAATCTGACCGTGACTCTGAACATGGTTTTCCAAGGATTGAGTAAGATCATCTCGCCCTTGCTCCAATCTTGTTCGCTGAATGAATGGGACCAGCACCGATGTTCTGGGGCACGCTCGCAGATACCATCGGCCGTCGGCACATCTTCATCTTATGCATGGTCCTACTCGCGATCTCCTGCGTTGGTCTCGCATTGACGCCTACCTCTGACTATTGGCTCCTCTTACTCTTGCGGTGCTTTCAAGCGGCAGGGTCTGCGAGCACGGTTGCGCTGGGTGCTGGTGTTATCGGTGACATTAGCACTCGGGCTGAGAGAGGTGGATTTCTGGGGATGTACAGTGTTGGCCCGATGGTGTGTGCCAATCGTGGCTGCTTAACCCAGTGCGCTGACCACTTTGAGCTCAGATAGCCCCTGCTATTGGGCCAGTGATCGGGGGTCTTTTGGCAGACAAGTTAGGATGGAGGTGCGTGTTTCAGGCTCTTGTCTGATCTTTGGAGTGTCCTGAAGCTGCTCAGGTCTATTTTCTGGTTCCTTTGCATCTGCTCTTCTATATGTGCGATCGTCCTGATGCTGTGCGTGCCGAATTCTTGGTTCACTCTATGTTAATCTCACTTCTCTCCTCTCTGCGCAGCTTTTTACCCGAGACGCTTCGTGCGATTGTAGGTAACGGAAGCATCCCGCCACCCAAGATATACTACCCTATCATTCCTTCCATCGGGCGATCCGGCCGCGTGCTCGAATCTGCCGTCTCTGAGCAGCCTCACAAAAGGTTCCAAAACCCCCTACAACTCTTGTTGAACGTCGACATCGTCCTGCTCCTTGTCATGAATGGAATCATCTACGCAGTCTTTTATGGAGTAACAGCAAGCATCTCTAGTGTCTTCCACGACGCATATCCTCAATTGAATGAGATTGAGTTGGGTTTATGCTTTTTGAGTGAGTCCTCGATTGGTTGCTACTCTTCCCCGGCTTATCCCATCAGGTATCGGTGGGGGAATGGTCATCGGCTCTTTGGTCTGTGGTAGGATCCTAGACTGGGACTATCAGCGCGTGAAGCGCAGTTTGTCGTCTTCTGAAGAAACCTCGGATAAAGACGAAGAGTCTTTCCCAATCGAGCAGGTGAGCTCAGCCTCCAACAACCCGTTTTGCGCTGTCATGACATCCACTTTCCAGGCACGTCTCAGGCTGCTTCCCTTGCTCATAGCTCTGTTCGTGGGCTGTTCTATCGGCTATGGTTGGTGTATAGAAGCCAAAACGCATATAGCCGGACCACTTGTTCTGCTTGTCGGAGGTAATATCCAGTCCCGCATCGGTCTGACATTGACCCTTACCTTGGTCCACAGTTGGATTAGTCGTGATATTTGTGATGAATTCTTCCCAAACTATGATGCTGGATCTCATGCCCACTTCCGGGTCTGCCATAACTGCTTGTGTGAGTTCAAATTCTGTCCCAATTCCTTTCCCTCAGCTGAAAGCCTGACAGAACAATCTCGTCCGATGCAGTCTAGGTGCAGGACTTGTTTCGGGCATCCAGCCGTTACTGACTGCTCTGGGGCCGGGTTATGGATACCTCCTCTTGGGCGGATTGGCTGCATTGATGATTCCATCAATATACCTTTCGATCTATATTGGGCCGCGATGCCGAGCAAGACGAGTTCGATTGGCCGAGGCAAAGCTTGCGACCGTAGACACGTAGTTCACTATCACAAGAAACTCCAATAATCATTTAGAGAGATCAAAAGGTCGCCAGTCTTATCTGATCGGCTCCGAAATGTGACTCCCTCTTCCGAACAAATATTGCGATTTCCGCGACGAACGCGTCGGGGACAGTATAAAACCGTAAAACATGCCCATGTTGAAACCAATCAGGTTCCCCGTTCGCAATGTCGTCTCCTTCAGAGGATCGTTCCGCGCATCTCCCCGACCGCTTCGTGGTGGATGACCCCGAACTGAGGAAACAGGCCGCCGAGCGCACGCCTATCCGTTTTCGCGACGATGGGGAGCCATACATTCCCCTCCCAGCACCCTTCGAACGTTTCTATCTCGGTGCGATGCGGCGGTCGGATATTCCACACGATAGCGCCATGATGGTATGTATGCAATCGAATCACGAACTTGAACAGCTCAACTGACCAGAATCGATCAGAGTGACATCCGCGTCGCGCGCACCCTGGTTGGCCCCCCGTTTCCTGCACCCATCAGCGGCTCACAAGGCTGGCTCGTCCGGGAGCGGGGTTTCATTGTTGCTTTGTTCAACGATTACGCCGAAGGACGGTTCGTTCCGACGGAGCACTCTCCTTTCGATGTGGTACGCGAACAGAAGCCGGACGGAAGCGAGGTCTATGTTGGGCAGGTGACGATCGGTCACATGGGTCCTAGTTTTGTGCGCAAGACGCCTGTGAATCCCGACTGGGAGGAGTGGAGATCGCACCGGGTCACTTCTATGGGTGGTCAGTTCGGTTCAGTCTCTAGGTTCCACATGCTCACCAGATGGTCAGCGGCTCTCAACGCCGAGTATCATGGAAAGGGGATCGCATCTGCTGCAGTTGATGTTCTCCTGAAGCAATGGGCCATTCCTCAGATGGGATGTACTGAAATTCTCGCTCAGTGCTTCCTCACCAACTTTGGATCCTACAAACTATGGCAGAAATTCGGGTTCGTCGAGGATGAAAGCCTGCGAAGTCAGTGTTTTACGACACAAACCATTGATAGAATGCTAATGAGTTCGCCCGTGTAGAGAAGCTCACCATTGAAGAAAGCAAGGGTGGAGGAGAGGTGGATGAATGCGTCTTGATCTGGAAACTGTCATGAGTAGATTAGATATACATTCGGCAGCACGTCGGCATCCATAGTGACAATCAAATCACAAGTACGTATTCAAGTTGAACGCGTCGCGAAGAAAAACTGCAACTTGCACAGTGCTTATTGGCATGTGTAACGGCGGAAGCAAGCATTGCTAATCACCCACCCTTCCTTACCGCACAGGCTTTGTTGTCGTCAAAACTGCTGCATGGTCTTCCTCACCGGGACCGCTAGGCTTGTAAGGCCGAAAGCTTTGAGTCGTTCCCCGCAACTGCTATTGTGGGGCGGAGCCTTTGCTGGCATCGCAGCCCTGAGCACTCGTTCTTTCTCATTTGCAGGCCTTGCTCAAGCCGGGACTCATGGTCTCAACTTCGCTGCCAACTCAATACGCAATCCGGCTGTAGCCTTCCTTCGCCGGCACGGGACAGCAACTTCCCTTCCCACCTTATTCCCCACCGTCACGCAATCCATGCTCACTCCACCGCAAGCGCCCCCGAAGTGGACTCACAGTCCCGCAGATGTGCTGGATCTGGTGAAGGCGGCTATCGAGAAGGATCGCGTTGTCGAGGACACTGTAGGCGCGTTGAAACCTGCGGACTGCACTTTCGAATCGGTACGTGATTGTATCTGGCTTCTAGCCGCCCTGATCTTCAATCGAATCTGTCCTATAGGTCTTTGTGAGTGCTTACAAGCCGCCTGTCCTACCCCGGAGTCTGCCGCTCATATAATACACATCAAGGTCGCTCTCGAATCGTCCGGCACCCAAATCGAGGTCGTCACGGAACCTCTCTTATTCTATCAGAATGTATCACCTTCCAAGGAGCTTCGCGACGCGTCTGTCGAAGCGGACTCTCTCCTGCGTGAATATGGCGTCGAGTCTTCCATGCGCATCGATGTGTTCCAGGCCAAGATTGCTGCCGAGAAGAACCTTAAAGAGTCGGGATCGTGGGACAAGCTTTCTGCTGAAGACAAACGTCTGGTTGAAAAGATGGTATGTGTAGTGTGCGGCCCATGAGCTTCGATTGAACACCGTCCAGATCCTCGATGGCACGCGTGCTGGTTTGCATTTGCCTGAAGACAAGCGTGACGCTTTGAAGGCACTGCAGAAAGAGCTGTCTCAGGTCTGCCTCGAATTCGAGGTGAGTTGAAAATCTGGAGTCCGAAAGGTGAAAGACTGAGTTCGTCTCAAAGAAAAACTTCAACGAGGAAAATGTTAGTACTCTTGCAACTAGCATCGAGCCACGACTGAGCACACTTTAGGGGGTTATCTCGTTTACAGCGCAGGAGCTCGAAGGCGTTCCGGCCGATGTCATCTCCGGCTACAAAAAGCGCACCGAGGGAGAGACCGAGTTGTACGATGTGACTTACAAAACCCCGGACATCTTCCCTATCGTCAGCTCTTTCTCGCTCGGCTGCGTGATTTCTTTTGACTCAAATACAGTTCAAATTTGCCAACAATCCGGAGACACGGAAGAGAGCTTACCAAGGCCACGAGTCGCGACTGGAAGTCAATGTACCTCTCACCGAACGCTTCCTTGCTCTCAGGCGCAAGATCTCCTCAACCCTGGGCTATGCGAACTGGGCCGAATACCGTACGGAACCGAAAATGGTCAAGTCTGCCAAAGGCGTTCAAGATGTGAGTGCTCTTGTTCCATCCATCTCCA